GTTGTGGTGGTTGTGGCAGTGGTGGCAATTGTGTCTCTTCACCTAGCATGCTCTCCTCAACCATGGATGGCTCCTCAACCATTGGACACATTGTAAGCTCCTGAGTTTGGACTTCCCGGGAGGTCACCCAGCCCAATACTATTCAAACCCAAGGACGCTTAACCCCAAATATCCCAAGACCCTTAACCGATTGGAAAAGGGGGTGCACTCTTGTTCATGGGCCCTTTCCCTCTATATTTGAACCCCTATGGACCGTCTCTTGAGTCGTTCCCTTTGGTTGCTTACAATCCACCATGCTTCCCTGCAAGTTCACGCCCTCGTGAACGGAAGCTGAGAGCCGCAGCTCTCCCGAGAGCTCCGCTCTCTTGACACCCTACCCCTCGGGTCGAGCCCAGCGGGAGCAAACTGGACCAGCTAGATGTCAATCAACATGTGGTGTGATTCCCTTAGCCAACCAACAGAGTCGGACCTGAGACCCCTCTGATACCAAATGTAAACTCCTGAGTTTGGACTTCCCGGGAGGTCACCCAGCCCAGTACTATTCAAACCCAAGGACGCTTAACCCCAAATATCCCAAGACCCTTAACCGATTGGAAAAGGGGGTGCACTCTTGTTCATGGGCCTTTTCCCTCTATATTTGAACCCCTATGGACCGTCTCTCGAGTCGTTCCCTTTGGTTGCTTACACACATCTTCTCGCCCATGGCCTCCTTAACAAGCCGGCGAACCTCCGCCAGGACCAGTGGTAGCAGTGGCGGCACTGTTGAGAGCGGCAGGGCCGGGGACGGAGGAGGCAGCGGTAGCGGCTGCTGCTGCTGCTACTGTAGGGGTGGTATCAGTGGCGTGTAAGGAACCAACTCGCCGAGGTGTCATAGGCTAAACGAACCCTAAAAGCATGACCAAAATGATAAAGAGTTCATCGGATAGGACCAAGTCTAAGATCGAGTCCAAGACCGACTCTAAGACCGAGTTCGAGATAGAGTCCGGAATCGAGTCCGAGACCGACTCGGAGACCGAGTTCGAGACCGAGTTCGAGACAGAGTCCGAGATTTGAAATCGGGTTCGAGACCGAGTCCGAGGTCGAGTCTGAGGTTGGGTCCGAGATCGGGTCCGAGATCGGGTCCGAGATCGAGTCCGAGACCGAATCCGAAGTCGGATCCAAGATTGAGTTCGAGATCGAGCCAGAGACTAAGTCCGAGTACTAATACGGGTCAAGCCCAAAGCATGCGTCTCCCAGGGGGGGGGGGGGGGGGGGGGGCTGCAGGGGGTTCCAAAAGTATAGTAGGGATAGTGAGGTCTAGGAACTAGTTTTGAAGGAATTCTCCAGTGGGGCTTCCAAACTGACTTGAGGTTGGGACTGGGATCGAGGGGCCTTGGGTGGGAGTGAGCATGGACTTGGTTGGTGCCGGAGGGGCCATCCAAGGAAGTGCTCAAGAGCAACTCCCACTCCCGAAAGGGAAACTGACTACGGTGCTCCTAGCTCATGTGGAGTGGTGCCCCACTTGAGTACCATGCGGCTCATTGGTCCTCGCCCTTCCTAGGGGCTTGGACCTTCCCTTCGGGATGGAAGTGGGGGGATAGAGGTACCCATACTGGGCCGTTAGGCCATGGTGTTTCGCCCCGGCGTCTCGAAGCATGCGTTGCACCCGAGACTTGGGATTTAGAGGGTCCCATGATCAAGTCTTGTGGTACCAAGGGATGTTAAGAATTTGGAAGCTTGGTGTGCTTGGCTGCTTGTGCTTGTGGGGAGTGTAGCCAAACCTTAAGTCCAGTCTAACCCGGGGAGGGGGATTGGGAGAGATTTGGGAATCCGTGGATGGATGGCTAACACTTCGTTGCTTGTGCAGTGAATAGCTGAAACCAAGTAGGACCAAGTAAGAACTGGTACCATAGGCAGGAACCTTGGTAAGGGAGCTTAGCAAAAGCCAAGGCAGTGTTGGATGGATAAACGAGGTAAGCTAGCAAATTGGAAAGGAAAAATTTGTGGCTTACAATTTAGTATCGGAGCCTTTTCCTCAATTCCTCAATTCTAGCGAAGGATAGAGGCGAATTGCTGGGAGATGGCAAATGTAGGGCAGAAGCGAACCAAGGCGGAGACGGAACCTCCTCCAGAGATGGAGCCTTTGGTTGAACGAGAGGCTATGGATGAGGAATCCTTGCATGAGGAGGACTCTAGTGAGGAAACTTCCAAACAGGAGTCCAGTGGCGAGGTTCGGTCGTCCAAGGCTCGATTGGATGTGGTAGAAGGACAGTTGGCACAGACCAATGCCCTACTGGAGACTCTCGTACGCAAGCTAAAGCGTGACAAGTAGCAGAAGAAAAAGAGAAAGACTGCGGATGCTGGCAGCACAGAAGATGCAGACCCTTCGGCAGGGAGTGAGGCAAAACCAAACAAGGTCGAACAGACCGAAGTAGAATCAGTCCCTTAGGCAGTTCCCAAGTACAAACCAAAGCCCCCACCAGTCTTCAAGGGAGTGAATGACTATAAGGTGGCAGAGGATTGGTTTTACGATATGGAGGACTACTTCCGAGCGTTGCAATTACCGAGCTCGGAGAAGGTCCCATGTGCAAAACCATACTTGGCAGATAATGCCAAGTCTTGGTGGAGAATGACGGAGGCCAACGAAGGACCAGTGGCCACTTGGGACATAGTGAAGGTGAGGATCCGCGCAATATACGTTCCTCCGAATGCCACTCTGCATCTGAGAGATGAGCTGAGTAGGCTGAAGCAGACTGGAACCATCCAGGAATATGTGAATGGGTTCATGGCAAAGAGGATACTTGTCATGGACATGGGGGATATGTATGTGTTCCATGCCTTCATATCAGGTTTGCAAACTTGGGCTCGCAACCAGACCATCAGCACCATTGCCACCATCCTTGGAACACTGTGGCTCTACGCAAGCCTCATGGGTAAGCCCTAAACCCTAAATACCAAACCCTAAACCCTAAACACCAAACCCTAAACCCTAAACCCTAAACCGATGGAAGCTTTTGAGCCCCCAGTGACACAGCACGCCATCCTAGGTGCAAACCCGCTCTCAGTGCTCTCGGTGAAGAAGAAGATGCGATTGATAATGTTGCGGTGCGCAGAGAGCTCGCTTGGCGTATGAAAACCCTCACCAAGTCCTTGCAGCTGCAGATGATCCAATTGCCACCGAGACTCGAGTCGAGGCAAGTGATTGTGTCTTGGATACTAGAGAGCAGCTGGAACACCATGAACTCCTTGCAGCACCCGGGCATTCCACCAGCTGGAGCAGAGGCGAAAGCATTGCAAAGGGGAGTCTAGCTAAGTTCTTATTAATTAGGGCGCTTGGGTGGATCTAGCAAAGCGGTGAGAGATCATGAATCTTTTTATTCTTCTCCTGCTACTGTTTCCTCCTCTATTTCAGAATAAGGATTTCATATCCCACCTTTAGGTGCTCACTGAGCAACGATTGGCAATGGTAGAACAGCAATTGCAAGAGTTGTTGAAGCAATTGCCGCCGGTGATGCCACCCCTACAGCAGCAGCAGCAGCAGCCGCCGTCACCGCCTCCTCCGTCCCCGGCCCTGTTGCTCTCAACGGTGCCGCCACTGCTGCCGTTGGTTCTGGCGAAGACGCCATTGATAACGTTGTGGTGCGCAGAGAGCTCGCCTGGCCTATGAAAACCCTCACCAAGTCCTTGCAACAGATGATCCAATTGCCGCCGGGGCTCCAGTCGAGGCAAGTGATCATGTCCTGGATATTGGAGAGTAGCTGGAACGAAATGAACTCCTTGTGGCACCTGGGCATTCCAACAGCAGGAGCAGAGGCATAAGCATTGCAAAGGGGAGTCGAGCTAAGTTCTAATTAATTAGGGCTCTTGGGGTGGATCTAGCAAAGCGATGAGAGATCATGAATCTTTTTATTCTCCTCTTGCTACTATTTCCTCCTCTATTTCAGAGTGAGGATTTCATATCCCACCGTCAGGCGCTCATTGAGCAGCAATTGGTAATGGTAGAACAGCGATTGCAAGAGCTATTGAAGCAATTGCCACCACTGATACCACACCTGCAGGAGCAGCAGCAGCAGCTGCCGCCACCGCCTCCTCCATCCCCGGCCCTGCCGCTCTCAATGGTGCCGCCACTGCTGCCGCTGGTCCTAGCGAAGGTTCGCCGGCTTGTTAAGGAGGCTATGGGCGAGAAGATGTGTCCAATGGTTGAGGAGCCGTCCATGGCTGAGGAGAGCATGCTAGGTGGGGACACACGATTGCCACCACTGCCACAACTACCAGGACAGTCGCCACCATTGTCATCACAACCACCATGACCATTGGCACCATTGCCACCCTAAACCCTAAACCCTACTGTTTCCTCCTCTATTTCAGAGTGAGAATTTCATATCCCACCATCAGGCGCTCACTGAGCAGCGATTTGCAATGCTAGAATAGCGATTGCAAGGGCTGTTGAAGTAGTTGCCGCCGCTGATGCCTCCCCTACAGTAGCAGCAGCAGTTGCTGCCGCCGCCACTAGCCCTACCGCTCTCAACGGTGCCGCCATTGCTGCCGCTGGTCTCGGTGGAGGTTCGCCGGCTTGTTAAGGAGGCCATGGGCGAGAAGATGTGTCCAATGGTTAAGGAGCCGTCGATGGCTGAGGAGAGCATGCTGGGTGAGGACACATGATTGCCACCAGTGCCACAACCACCACAACCGTCGCCACCGTCATCACCACAACCACCATAACCATCGGCACCATTGCCAACCTAAACTAGTTTAGGGTTTAGGGTTTACCTTAAACCCTACTATTTCCTCCTTTATTTCAGAGTGAGGATTTCATATCCCACCATCAAGCGCTCACTGAGCAACGATTGGCAATGGTTGAACAGCGATTGCAAGAACTATTGAAGCAGTTGCCGCCGCTGATGCCTCCCCTGCAGCAGCAGCACTAGCAGTTGCCGCTGCCGCTGGGCCTGCCACTCTCAATGGTGCCGCCACTGCTGCCGCTGGCCCTGGCGGAGGTTTGCCACCTTGTTAAGGAGGCCATGGGCGAGAAGATGTGTCCAATGGTTGAGCAGCCGTCCATGGCTGAGGAGAGCATGCTGGGTGAGGACACACGATTGCCAACACTGCCACAAGCACCATGATGGTCGCCACCATCGTCACCACGACCACTATGACCATCAACACCATTGCCACCCGAAACCCTAAACCCTAAACCCTACTGTTTAATCCTCTATTTCAGAGTGAGAATTTCATATCCCACCATCAGGCGCTCACTAAGCAGCGATTGGGAATGCTAGAACAGCGATTGCAAGAACTATTGAAGCAGTTGCCGCCGCTGATGCCTCCCCTGCAGCAACAGCAGTAGCAGCTGCCGCTACGTTGGGCCTGCCGCTCTCAATGGTGCCGCCACTGTTGCCACTAGTCCTGGCGGAGTTTCGCCGGCTTGTTAAGGAGGCCATGGGCGAGAAGATGTGTTCAATGGTTGAGGAGCCGTCCATGGCTGAGGAGAGCATGCTGGGTGAGGACACACGATTGCCAACACTACCACAAGCACCATGACGGTTGCCACCATCGTCACCACAACCATTATGACCATCAACACCATTGCCACCCTAAACCCTAAACCCTAAACCCTACTGTTTACTCCTCTATCTCAGAGTGAGAATTTCATATCCCACCATCAGGCGCTCACTGTGTAGCGATTGGGAATGGTAGAACAGCGATTGTAAGAGCTATTGAAGTAGTTGCCACCGCTGATGCCACCCATGCAGCAGCAGCAGCAGCAGCTGCCGCCGCCGCCGGGCCTACCACTCTTAATGGTGCTGCCACTGCTACTGCTAGTCCTAGCGGAGGTTCGCCGGCTTGTTAAGGAGGCCATGGGCGAGAAGATGTGTCCAATGGTTGAGGAGCCAGCCATGGTTGCGAAGAGCATGCTGGCTGAGGACACACGATTGCCATCACTGCCACAACCACCATGACAGTCGCCACCGTCGTCACCACGACCACCATGACCATCAGCACCATTGCCACCCAGAACCTTAAACGCTAAACCCTCATATTTCCTCCTCTATTTCAGAGTGAGAATTTCATATCCCACCATTAAGCGTTCACTGAGCAGCGATTGGGAATGGTAGAACAGCGATTGTAAGGGCTGTTGAAGTAGTTGGTGCCGTTGATGCCACCCCTGCAGCAGCTGCCGCCGCCGCCGGGCCTGCCACTCTCAACGGTGCCGCCATTGCTGCCGCTGGTCCTGGCGGAGGTTCGCCGGCTTGTTAAGGAGGCCATGGGCGAGAAGATGTGTCCAATGGTTGAGGAGCTATCCATGGCTGAGGAGAGCATGCTGGGTGGGGACACACGATTGCCACCACTACCACAACTACCATGACAGTCGCCACCATCGTCACCACGACCACCATAACCATCAGAACCATTGCCACCCTAAACCCTAAACCCTAAACCCTATTGTTTCCTCTTCTATTTCAGAGTGACGATTTCATATCCCACCGTTAGGCGCTCACTGAGGAGTGATTGGCAATAGTAAAATAGCGATTGCAAGAGGTTTTGAAGCAGTTGCAGCCGCTGATGCCACCTCTGCAGAAGCAGCAGCAGCTACTGCCGCCGCCTCCTCCGTCGCCGGCCCTGCCGCTCTCAACGGTGCCGCCACTGTTGCCGCTGGTCCTGGCCGAGGTTCGCCGGCTTGTTAAGGAGGCCATGGGCGAGAAGATGTGTCCAATGGTTGAGAAGCCGTTCATGGCTGAGGAGAGCATGCTGGGTGGGGACGCACGATTGCCACCACTGCCACAACCACCACGACCGTCGCCACCGTCGTCAACAGAACCACCATGACCATCGGCACCATTGCCACCATCCTCAGAACATTGTGGCTCTACACGAGCCTCATGGGTACTCTCCCCAAGCCCTAAACACTAACCCCTAAACCTGCATGGGAGGTGGAAGCTTTTGAGCCCACAGTGACACAGCAGGCCATCTTAGGTGCAGACCCGCCCTCAATGCTCTTGGTTTAGGGTTTAGGGTTTAGGGTTTACTGTTTCCTCCTTTATTTCAGAGTGAGGATTTGATATCCCACTATCAGGCGCTCAATGAGCAGCAATTGGCAATGGTAGAACAGCGATCGCAAGAGTTGTTGAAGCAATTGCCGCTGCTGATGCCACCCCTACAGCAGCAGCAGCAGCAGCGGCCGCACCGGCCTCCTCCGTCCCTGGCTCTACCGCTCTCAACGGTGCCACCACTGCTGCCGCTAGTCCTGGCGGAGGTTTGCCGGCTTGTTAAGGAGGCCATAAGCGAGAAGATGTGTCCAATGGTTGAGGAGAGCATGCTGGGTGGGGACACACGATTGCCACTACTGCCACAACCACCACGACTGTTGCCACCGTCGTCTCCACGACCACCATGACCATCGGCACCATTGCCACCACCCTCAGAACACTATGCCTCTCGCAAGCCTCATGGGTACTCTTCCCAAGCCCTAAACACTAAACCCTAAACCTACATGGGAGGTGGAAGCTTTTGAGCCCAGAGTGACACAGCACGCCATCCTAGGTGCAGACCCACCCTCAATGCTCTTGGTTTCGGGTTTAGGGTTTAGGGTTTACTGTTTCCTCCTTTATTTCAAAGTGAGGATTTCTTATCCCACCATCAGGCGCTCACTATGTAGCGATTGGCAATGGTAGAATAGCGATTGCAAGAGCTATAGAAGCAGTTGCCGCTGATGCCACCCCTGTAGCAGCAGTAGTAGCTGCCGTCACCGCCTCCTCTGTCCCCGGCCCTGCCGCTCTCAACAGTGTCGCCACTGCAACTGCTAGTCCTAGTGGAGGTTCACCAGCTTGTTAAGGAGGCCATAGGCGAGAAGATGTGTCCAATGGTTAAGGAGCCGTCCATGGTTGCGGAGAGCATGCTTGGTGAGGACACACGATTGCCACCACTTCCACAACCACCATAACCACCATGTTTCCTCCTCTATTTCAGAGTGAGAATTTCATATCCCAACATCAGGCGCTCACTGAGCAGCGATTGGCAATGGTAGAACAGCGATGGCAAGGGCTATTGAAGCAGTTGCCGCCGTTGATGCTTCCCCTGCAGCAGTAGCAGGAGCTGCTGCCACCGTCGCCAGCCCTGCCGCTCTTAATGGTGCCGCCACTGTTGCCACTAGTCCTGGCGGAGGTTCGCCGGTTTGTTAAGGAGGCCATGCGCGAGAAGATGTGTCCAATGGTTAAGGAGCCGTCCATGGCTGAGGAGAGCATGCTTGGTGAGGACACACGATTGCCACCACTACCACAACCACCATGACTGTCGCCCCTATCGTCACCACGACCACCATGACCATCAGCAACATTGCCACCCTAAACCTTAAACGCTAAACCCTCATATTTCCTCCTCTATTTTAGAGTGAGAATTTCATATCCCACCATCAGGCGCTCACTGAGCAGCGATTGGGAATGGTAGAACAGCGATTGCAATGGTTGTTGAAGTAGTTGCCGCCGTTGATGCCTCCCCTACAGCAGCAGCAGTAGCTGCTACCACCGCCACCAGCCCTGCCGCTCTCAATGGTGCTGCCACTGCTGCCGTTGGTCCTGGCGGAGGTTCGCCGGCTTGTTAAGGAGGCCATGGGTGAGAAGATGTGTCCAATGGTTGAGGAGCCGTCCATGGCTGAGGAGAGCATGCTGGGTGAGGACACACGATTGCCAACACTGCCACAAGCACCATGATGGTCGCCACCATCGTCACCATGACCACTATGACCATCAACACCATTGCCACCCTAAACCCTAAACCCTAAACCCTACTGTTTCCTCCTCTATTTTAGAGTGAGAATTTCATAACCCGCCATCAGGCGCTCACTGAGCAGCGATTGGGAATAGTAGAACAGCGATTGCAAGAGCTATTGAAGCAGTTGCCGCCGCTGATGCCTCCCCTGCAGCAGCAGCTGCCACCGCCGCCGGCCCTGCCGCTCTCAACGGTGCCGCCACTGTTGCCGCTAGTCCTGGCTGAGATTCGCCAGCTTGTTAAGGAGGCCAGGAGCGAGAAGATGTGTCCAATGGTTGAGAAGCCGTCCATGGCTGAGGAGAGCATGCTAGGTGAGGACACACGATTGCCAACACTACCACAAGCACCATGACGGTTGCCACCATCGTCACCACAACCATTATGACCATCACCACCATTGCCACCCTAAACCCTAAACCCTAAACCCTACTGTTTACTCCTCTATCTCAGAGTGAGAATTTCATATCCCACCATCAGGCGCTCACTGTGTAGCGATTGGGAATGGTAGAACAGCGATTGCAAGAGCTATTGAAGTAGTTGCCACCGCTGATGCCACCCATGCAGCAGCAGCAGCAGCAGCTGCCGCCGCCGCCGGGCCTGCCACTCTTAATGGTGTTGCCACTGCTACCGCTAGTCCTAGCGGAGGTTCGCCGGCTTGTTAAGGAGGCCATGGGCGAGAAGATGTGTCCAATGGTTGAGGAGCCATCCATGGTTGCGAAGAGCATGTTGGGTGAGGACACACGATTGCCATCACTGCCACAACCACCATGACAGTCGCCACCGTCGTCACCACGACCACCATGACCATCAGCACCATTGCCACCCTGAACCTTAAACGCTAAACCATCATATTTCCTCCTCTATTTCAGAGTGAGAATTTCATATCCCACCATCAAGCGTTCACTGAGCAGCGATTGGGAATGGTAGAACAGCGATTGTAAGGGCTGTTGAAGTAGTTGCTGCCGTTGCTGCCACCCCTGCAGCAGCTGCCGTTGCTGCCACCCTTGCAGCAGCTGCCGCTGCCGCCGGGCCTGCCACTCTCAACGGTGCCGCCACTGCTGCCGCTGGTCCTGGCGGAGGTTCGCCGGCTTGTTAAGGAGGCCATGGGCGAGAAGATGTGTCCAATGGTTGAGGAGCTATCCATGGCTGAGGAGAGCATGCTGGGTGGGGACACACGATTGCCACCACTGCCACAACTACCATGACAGTCGCCACCATCGTCACCACGACCACCATAACCATCAAAACCATTGCCACCCTAAACCCTACTGTTTCCTCTTCTATTTCAGAGTGACGATTTCATATCCCACCGTTAGGCGCTCACTGAGGAGTGATTGGCAATAGTAAAATAGCGATTGCAAGAGGTTTTGAAGCAGTTGCAGCCGCTGATGCCACCCCTGCAGAAGCAGCAGCAGCTACTGCTGCCGCCTCCTCCGTCGCCGGCCCTGCCGCTCTCAACGGTGCCGCCACTGTTGCTGCTGGTCCTGGCGGAGGTTCGCCGGCTTGTTAAGGAGGCCATGGGCGAGAAGATGTGTCCAATGGTTGAGAAGCCGTTCATGGCTGAGGAGAGCATGCTCGGTGGGGACGCACGATTGCCACCACTGCCACAACCACCACGACCGTCGCCACCGTCGTCTCCACGACCACCATGACCATCGGCACCATTGCCACCACCCTCAGAACACTGTGCCTCTCGCAAGCCTCATGGGTACTCTTCCCAAGCCCTAAACACTAAACCCTAAACCTGCATGGGAGATGGAAGCTTTTGAGCCCACAGTGACACAGCAGGCCATCTTAGGTGCAGACCCGCCCTCAATGCTCTTGGTTTAGGGTTTAGGGTTTAGGGTTTACTGTTTCCTCCTTTATTTCAGAGTGAGGATTTCATATCCCACCATCAGGCGCTCAATGAGCAGCAATTGGCAATGGTAGAATAGCGATCGCAAGAGTTGTTGAAGCAATTGCCGTTGCTGATGCCACCCCTACAGCAGCAGCAGCAGCAGCAGCGGCCGCACCGGCCTCCTCCGTCCCTGGCTCTACCGCTCTCAACGGTGCCACCACTGCTGCCGCTAGTCCTGGCGGAGGTTTGCCGGCTTGTTAAGGAGGCCATAGGCGAGAAGATGTGTCCAATGGTTGAGGAGAGCATGCTGGGTGGGGACACACGATTGCCACTACAGCCACAACCACCACGACTGTTGCCACCGTCGTCTCCACAACCACCATGACCATCGGCACCATTACCACCACCCTCAGAACACTGTGCCTCTCGCAAGCCTCATGGGTACTCTTCCCAAGCCCTAAACACTAAACCCTAAACCTACATGGGAGGTGGAAGCTTTTGAGCCCAGAGTGACACAGCACGCCATCCTAGGAGCAGACCCACCCTCAATGCTCTTGGTTTCGGGTTTAGGGTTTAGGGTTTACTGTTTCCTCCTCTATTTCAAAGTGAGGATTTCTTATCCCACCATCAGGCGCTCACTATGTAGCGATTGGCAATGGTAGAATAGCGATTGCAAGAGCTATAGAAGCAGTTGCCGCCGCTGATGCCACCCCTGTAGCAGCAGCAGTAGCTGCCGTCACCGCCTTCTCCGTCCCTGGCCCTGCCGCTCTCAACAGTGTCGCCACTGCAACTGCTGGTCCTAGTGGAGGTTCACCAGCTTGTTAAGGAGGCCATGGGCGAGAAGATGTGTCCAATGGTTAAGGAGCCGTCCATGGTTGCGGAGAGCATGTTGGGTGAGGACACACGATTGCCACCACTTCCACAACCACCATAACCACCATGTTTCCTCTATTTCAGAGTGAGAATTTCATATCCCAACATCAGGCGCTCACTGAGCAGCGATTGGCAATGGTAGAACAGCGATGGCAAGGGCTATTGAAGCAGTTGCCGCCGTTGATGCTTCCCCTGCAGCAGTAGCAGGAGCTGCTGCCACCGCCACCAGCCCTGCCGCTCTCAATGGTGCCGCCACTGTTGCCACTAGTCCTGGCGGAGGTTCGCCGGTTTGTTAAGGAGGCCATGCGCGAGAAGATGTGTCCAATGGTTAAGGAGCCGTCCATGGCTGAGGAGAGCATGCTTGGTGAGGACACACGATTGCCACCACTGCCACAACCACCATGACTGTCGCCCCTATCGTCACCACGACCACCATGACCATCAGCAACATTGCCACCCTAAACCTTAAACGCTAAACCCTCATATTTCCTCCTCTATTTCAGAGTGAGAATTTCATATCCCACCATCAGGCGCTCACTGAGCAGCGATTGGGAATGGTAGAACAGCGATTGCAATGGTTGTTGAAGTAGTTGCCGCCGTTGATGCCTCCCCTACAGCAGCAGCAGTAGCTGCTACCACCGCCACCAGCCCTGCCGCTCTCAATGGTGCTGCCACTGCTACCGTTGGTCCTGGCAGAGGTTCGCCGGCTTGTTAAGGAGGCCATGGGTGAGAAGATGTGTCAAATGGTTGAGGAGCCGTCCATGGCTGAGGAGAGCATGCTGGGTGAGGGCACACGATTGCCAACACTGCCACAAGCACCATGATGGTCGCCACCATCGTCACCACGACCACTATGACCATCAACACCATTGCCACCCTAAACCCTAAACCCTAAACCCTACTGTTTCCTCCTCTATTTCAGAGTGAGAATTTCATATCCCGCCATCAGGCGCTCACTGAGCAGCGATTGGGAATAGTAGAACAGCGATTGCAAGAGCTATTGAAGCAGTTGCCGCCGCTGATGCCTCCCTTGCAGTAGCAGCTGCCACCGCCACCGGCCCTGCCGCTCTCAACGGTGCCGCCACTGTTGCCGCTGGTCCTGGCTGAGGTTCGCCGGCTTGTTAAGGAGGCCATGGGCGAGAAGATGTGTCCAATGGTTGAGAAGCCGTCCATGGCTGAGGAGAGCATGCTGGGTGGGGACACACGATTGCCACCACTGCCACAACCACCACGACCGTCGCCACCGTCGTCAATAGGACCACCATGACCATCGGCACCATTGCCACCATCCTTGGAACACTGTGGCTCTACATGAGCCTCATGGGTACTCTCCCCAAGCCCTAAACACTAAACCCTAAACCTGCATGGGAGGTGGAAGCTTTTGAGCCCACAGTGACACAGCACGCCATCTTAGGTGCAGACCCGCCCTCAATGCTCTTGGTTTAGGGTTTAGGGTTTAGGGTTTACTGTTTCCTCCTCTATTTCAGAGTCAGGATTTCATATCCCACCATCAGGAGCTCACTGAGGAGCGATTGGCAATGGTAAAATAGCAATTAGAAAAGCTGTTGAAGCAGTTACCGCTGCTGATGCCACCCCTCCAGCAGTAGTAGTAGCTACCACTACCGCCTCCTCCATCCCCGGCTTTGCCGCTCTCAACGGTGCCGCCACTGCTGCCGCTAGTCCTAGCGGAGGTTCGCCAGCTTGTTAAGGAGGCCATGGGCGAGAAGATGTGTCCAATGGTTGAGGAGCCGTCCATGGTTGTAGAGAGCATGCTGGGTGAGGACACACGATTGCCACCACTGCCACAACCACCATGACCGTCACCACCGTCGTCACCACGACCACCATGACCATCAGCACCATTGCCACCCTAAACCCTAAACCCTAAACCCTACTGTTTCCTCTTCTATTTCAGAGTGAGGATTTCATATCCCACCGTCAGGCGCTCACTAAGGAGCAATTGGCAATGGTAAAATAGCGATTGCAAGTGCTGTTGAAGCAGTTGCTGCCGTTGATGCCACCCCTGCAATAGCAGTAGTAGCTGCCGCCGCCGCCTCCTTCGTCCCCGGCACTGCCGCTCTCAACAGTGCCGCTGGTCCTGGTGGAGGTTTGCCGGCTTGTTAAGGAGGCCATAGGCGAGAAGATGTGTCCAATGGTTGAGGAACCGTCCATGGCTGAGGAGAGCATGCTAGGTGAGGACACACGATTGCCACCACTGCCACAACCACCACGACCGTCACCACCATTGTCACCACGACCACAATGACAATCGGCACCATTGCAACCATCCTCACCACCACCACCACCGCAAGGGATGGGGACCATCACCAGTATGATTAGTGGATTGGTATCATCATTGTTATTCCTACTGTGTCCAGCACAATAGGAATGTCTATCATACTCCGAAAAATGAAAGCATGTAATCAGGTGTGTGTGTGTGTGTAAGATTGTCTAACTTAGAGTGCAGATTGTTGCTACTACGACCATCTTCTGTTGTGTTAATCTTCATATAATCACCGTGGCTGTTGTGCCTTTGTTGAGACTGTAAGCTCTTGTGGATGCTCAAAACTTTGGCCAGGCCAACGCTCCCAACAGCGTAGTTCAAGCTGGTCATGCCACTTTGCACAAGGCTCTGGTGGATCGCTCTAGAGCTTCGACCTGAGTGCAAGCGTCGAGAACGATCCCGAGGGTGAGATAGAACGTCAGCCTCACAACGCTGGTAACTAGAGCAAGCCAAGATTGTGATGTGGGCAAGCTTCCACCATGCTCACCACACAATCCATTGTAAGGAACCAACTCGCCAGGGTGTCGTAAGCTAAAGGAACCCCGAAAGCATGACCAAAATGACAAAGAGTTTATCGGATGGGACCAAGTCGAAGATCGAGTCCAAGACCGACTCGGAGACCGAGTTCGAGATAGAGTCCGGAATCGAGTCCGAGGCCGACTCGGCCGAGTTTGAGACGGAGTCCGAGATCCGAAATCGGGTCCGAGATCGAGTCCGAAGTCGGGTCCAAGATCGGGTCCGAGATCGAGTCCGAGATCGAGTTCGAGACCAAATCCGAAGTCGGATCCGAAATCGAGTCCGAGATCGAGCCAAAGACTAAGTCCAAATACTAATACGGGTCAAGGGGTGAAAGCCCAAAGCGTGTGTCTCCCAGGGGGGGGGGGGGGCTGCAGGGGGTTCCAAAAGTATAGTAGGGATAGTGAGGTCCAGGAACCAGTTTAGAAGGGACTCTCCAGTGGGGCTCCCAAACCGACTTGAGGTTGGGACTGGGACCGAAGGGCCTTGGGTGGGAGTGAGCATAGACTTGGTTGGTGCCGGAGGGGCCATCCAAGGAAGTGCTCAAGAGCAGCTCCCACTCCCGAAAGGGAAACCGATTGCGGTGCTCCTGGCTCATGTGGAGTGGTGCCCCACTTGAGTATTATGCGGCTCATTGGTCCTCGCCCTTCCTAGGGGCTTGGGCCTTCCTTCGAGATGGAAGTGGGGGGGTAGAGGTACCCATACCGGGCCACTAGGCCACGGTGTTTCGCCCCGGCGTCCTGAAGCAAGTGTTGCACTCAAGACTTGGGATTTAGAGGGTCCCATGATCAAGTCTTGTGGTACCAAGGGATGTTAGGAACCTAGAAGCTTGGTGTGCTTGGCTGCTTGTGCTTGCAGGGAGTGTAGCCGAACCTTAAGTCCAGTCTAACCCAGGGAGGGGGATTGGGAATCCGTGGATGGATGGCTAACGCTCCGTTGCTCATAGCAAAGCGGTGAGAGATCATGAATCTTTTTATTCTCCCCTTGCTACTGTTTCCTCCTTTATTTCAGAGTAAGGATTTCATATCCCACCGTCAGGCGCTCACTAAGTAGTGATTGGCAATGGTAGAACAGCGATTGCAAGAGCTGTTGAAGCAGTTGCCGCCGCTAATGCCACCCCTACAGCAGCAGCAACAGCTGCCGCTGCTGCCTCCTCTATCCCCGGCCCTGCCGCTCTCAACAGTGCCGCCACTGCTGCTGCTAGTCCTGGCGGAGGTTTGTTGGCTTGTTAAGGAGGCCATGGGCGAGAAGATGTGTCCAATGGTTGAGGAGCTATCCATGGCTAAGGAGAGCATGCTGGGTGAGGACACACGATTGCCACCACTGCCACAATCACCATGACCGTCGCCACCATCGTCACCATGACCACCATAACAATCGGCACCATTGCGACCGTCCTCACCACCACCACCACCGCAAGGGATGGGGACCATCACCAGTATGATCAGTGGATTGGTATCATCATTGTTGTTCCTACTGTGTCTAGCACACTAGGAATGTCTATCATACTCCGAAAGATGAAAGTATGTAATTAGGTGTGTGTGTGTGTGAGAGAGAGATTGTGTAACTTAGAGTGTAGATTGCTACTACTACAACCATTGATCAGGCTCCCTAAACCCTAAACCCTAGCCTTGATCTAGCTGCAATCTTCTGTTTTGTTAATCTTCATTTAATCACTGTGGCTCTTGTGCCTTTGTTGAGACTGTAAGCTCTTGTGGATGCTCAAAACTTTGGCCAGGCCAACGCTCCCAACAGCGTAGTTCAGGCTGGTCATGCCACTTTGCACAAGGCTCTGGTGGATCGCTCGAAAGCTTCGACCTAAGCGCAAGCATCAAGAACGATCCCGAGAGTGAGATAGAACATTAGCCTCGCAGCGCTGGTAACTAGAGCAAGCCAAGATTGTGATGCGAGCAAGCTTCCACCATGCTCACCACACAATCCCTGAGATGGCAGAACATGTTGTGAGCACCTTAATGATGGTCACCTCCCTTGGCCTCAGCCTTGAACAAAAGAAGTGCCACCCTCTGATGCCATTTGGACTTTGGAACAACACTTTGGAACATTGTGGCCCTATGTGAGCCTCATGTCCCTCTCCGAAATCAAACCCTAATTCCCCGTTACCCGTTACCACCATGGTAGGCCTCTATCCTGGGTACTCTCCCCAAACCCTAAACCCTAAACCCTAAACCTGCACGGGAGATGGAAGCTTTTGAGCCCCCAGTGACACAGCATGCCATCCTAGGTGCAGACCCGCTCTCAGTGCTCTCGGTGAAGAAGAAGACACCATTGAAAACGTTGAGGTGCGCAAAGAGCTTGCCTGGCCTGTGAAAACCCTCACCAAGTCCTTGTAGCTGCAGATGATCCAATTGCCGCCGAGGTTCCAGTCGAGGCAAGTGATCGTGTCCTGGATGTTGGAGAGCAACTGAAACACCATGAACTCCTTGCGGCACTTGGGCATTCCACAAGCAAGAGCAGAGGCAAAAGCATTGCAAAGGGGAATCGAGCTAAGGTCTTATTAATTAGGGCTCTTGGGGTGGATCTAGCAAAGCGGTGAGAGATCATGTATCTTTTTATTCTCCTCCTTCTCTCCTCTATTTCAGAGTGAGGATTTCATATCCCACCATCAGGCACTCACTGAGCAACGATTGGCAATGGTAGAACAGCGATTGCAAGAGCTGTTGAAGCAGTTGCCACCACTAATGCCACCCTTGCCTGGCCCTTGCCAAGCAGCCGTGCCGCCCCCGAGGCTTGCCTCCCTTGGAAGCCCAGAGGACCACACTGCTGCCTCCCTCCCCCTCGCCCGATAGGCGTGCGGATGTGGTCCCAAGGCCATGCCCATGGACCACACAGCACGACTCTGCCAAACGCTGAAGTGGGTGCCAGGGAAGCCACGCCGAGGCTCTCTCTGCAGCCGAGAACCCTTGCACAACCCCACCCCCCATCAATACTGGGGAGGCAATAGCAGCAGCAGCCACCGCCGCCTCCTTCGTCCCCGGCCCTGCCACTCTCAATGGTGCCACCATTGCTGCCGCTGGTCCTGGTGGAGGTTCGCCGGCTTGTTAAGGAGGCCATGGGCGAGAAGATGTATCCAATGGTTGAGGAGCTGTCCATGGCTAAGGAGAGCATGCTGGGTGAGGAGACACGATTCCATCTCGGGTCCATCTCGGACTCCATCTCAGGTCCATCTTGGGTCCATCTTAAACTCCATCTTGGGTCCATCTTGGGTCTATCTCGGACTCCGTCTCAAGTCCATTTCAGACTCCATCTCGACTCCATCTCGGACACTTCTATGTGTCATGCTGGTCCTTTTGTGTCCTTTTTCTAGAGACTCATTCATTGCTTGCTTCATGCTTGTTCCTCGAGCACTTCATTGGACCTTGTTTTTTATCCCACTGATCTCGATATGGATGTCACACCAGGGGTACGATTGGTCTTTACGGGCTCACTAGATGTGAAGCTTGTTGTTGCCTTCTGTGTAGGCAATCAATGATGCACTGGAAAGCAAGTGTTATTCATGAGCACTGATGCTGGCACTCCGGTTGAACGAGCCACTGCTGATTCAGAAATGCAGGGAGGCCATTGCGATCAGTGGTGTTGTCTGCAACATTTCACTTTCGTACCTTGGAGATGAACTTGCACAGTGCCTGGAGAAGACACCTCATTTGGAGTTCTTACTGGTATGTATCAAGTTAGAAGGAAACATGTACTAAGTTGGCTTTGTTACAGGAGCTTTCCATTGGCAGAACAATCCAGTCGAAGAGTAGGGAGCTCATGCCCGCTCTCAAGTCCCTATCTTGCAGCAACAACCGCCTCCTAAAACGACTACGTTCTCCATTACCTGTGCTCGGCCCCAACTAAGAGCAAGAGCATGGAACAAAGCTCAGACTTGTATGATAACGGACATGCCACTGAGAACTCAGGTGAACTTATTTTTTCTTTATTTGAATGTGAACCAAACAATTTCACGTAGGTGATCAGAACGGAGGTGGGATCCTTGCTGAGCTCCTCCGTGCCTTGGAAAAGGAATGACAACAGCAATAAGTCTTACAGTAGTGCTGCTTTAATTTGCTCCTTGAGTGCTTGCCTGGCAGCAGGATCCATCTGACACGAGCAAGACGAAGAGGAGATCAGAGCTGCACAGCTAGACGGTAGACAAAACTTACCTTATCAACAAGGTTCCGTATAACTTGCGGCAGCACCTCGAGATCGTCGTTTCGATTTTGACAATCACTGAGCATCTGCCTCGAAACTTTCTGCACTCTGAGCTGCTGGAGCTCCCGTTGGATCCTGGACTCGTTGCTGGCCAGCCACTCCACAACCAGAGTATCGTCGGCCCAACCATCCCCATCACCGGTGCTGCTGCTGCTCCACGTCAAGAACCACTGCCTCAACAGCTCCAGCGCGTCCCGGTGACTACACTCGCTTCCAGCAGCCGCTAGCACACGTTGTATCACAGATTCTTGGGCCAGCCTCCTCGCCAACCTGTTGTAGAAGAAAGACCTCGAGCACTCCCAGTCCACCACCCGCCGGATGATCCCTTTGGCGGCCAGCCGGAAGGCCGTGTCGTGCATATCAATGAAGCGGAGGGCGATCTGCTTGTACACTGGAATCAGGCTGTCCTGGCGAGCTCTCATCGCTGCTGGATCCTCGAGTCGTGGCAGTACTGGATCCAAGCGCTTCATGGAGTCGAGGATTTGCTCCCTCCGGAACTTTATCTCGGCTACTCCCTCGGCCTCGAGCACCCCGGCTCTAGCCGTGCTGTCGGCGTACATCTCGACTTGGTCCGGATTGATCTTACTGTCCACCACCACCCAGGCCCCGCCTCGAAGCTCGCCATTCCGAGGCACGTAGACGAACACCGGTTGCTGGTACGTGCGGAGGTGCTCCACGATGGTGGATCCGGCTTGCAAAACTCCCTCAAAGAGATCCCTTTGGCCACCCGAGAAGCCTCTCCAGTTGGCCAGGATGAAGAGCGGGAGCCCCTCGTTGTTGAAGTCGATCATGGCTTGGGCCGTCTTGGAGGCCGAGTCCGGGAACCAGACCTGTCCGGCTTGCGGCACCACTCTCTCCTGCGAGTCGAGCTGTCCGGGGTCCGCAGGGATCACTTGCATGACCGTCTGCGTCTCCACCGCGATGATCCCAACTGGTATCCCCCCGAGCCGAGCACGCCCTGTCACTACCGTCCGAGCCCACCCCTCGAGCGTCTCGGTGAAGCTGCCTTTGTCGAAGATACCGCCCATCCAGCCGCCGCCACCCTCGGAGTTGTAAACTCCGGCCACCGCGGCACGAGGATCGCAGCTGTTCTCCGGGACGTAGGCCACTGTCCTGTCCGGGGGATCGTCGCTGGGCCGAGACGGAAGCCCGCCACCTTTGACGCTGGGGACGTAGCTCAGCCAGTTGAGGATGGCGGACACTCCTTCGAGATCGTCGCTCACAGTGAGATGCGTGACGCCGTTCGTCGCCATCACCTTGGGTCCCCCGAGCTGCATTTGCGAGCTGTACACTTCTCGTCCCAGGAGCTTGTTGAGCGCCGAGTAGCCCGTGAGGATGATCGGCTGGTCCAACCGCTGGATGCACCGCATTCCCAGACGAGCAAGGTAGGCACCGATGCCGACCGTCTTGCCGGAGACGTACGTCAAGGTGAAGGTCTCCCTGTATGCCTTGGAGTAGGCGCTGGCGATGGCACCGCTCCCCGAGAGGTTCTCCACGCCGAGCCCGTCCTTCTGCCCGATGATATCGTCGATCACCCAGCGCACCTGTCCGTCCGCCACCTCCAGCTTGTGAGCGTTCACGAAGGCGCCGAGCTTGGAGTAGTCGTCCGGCCGGAGGTAGAGGTAGTGGAAGCCGTGCTCCGGGCGAGAGTCGTCCAGCCACCCGACCTGGAAGCTCCTCCTCACTTCCTCCGCTACGTCGATCCGGGCACCCGAGTTGGCGGCCAGGTAGACGAGAGGGAGCTTCTCCCGGCACGCCATGTCCGTGACGCACTTGAAGAAGGCGTCCTCCTTGGGGCCGAAGGAGCCAGCGGCATGCGTTACGTCGTTGGAAACCACGATAAGGTGGCGGCCCTGAGGGTACTCTGGAGTGCACAGCTCCAGACGCCACGCTACCATTCCAATGTCGTTGCTGGCGCTGGGCCGGTTCGTCTCCACCAGGGTGGCGTCCCACGACTGGTTTGCCGTGGGAAACACGAGCTCGGTTGCGCAGAACGCTGTGGTGTCCTTGGGCAGCTCCATCCCGGACTCCTTCCAGCACTGCTTGAGCGCAGCCTCGAACACCTGGTTTGACACAAGCTCGTTCGTCGCTCAGCTAGAAACACGCACAACTTACCAGAGGGAAGTCGTAGCAAAAGGTGGTGCCGTTCTTCCTGGCCAGCAGCCGTCTAGAGTCGAGAGCTTCCAACGGCTTGCACTGCTTGGACAACGGGACTCCATGGAGCGGCCCCTCACAACCTGGAAACGGCGAGCTATAGACGGTCTGCTTCGTGAGAGGATCGCGCACCTCCCTGTAGATCTGCGAGCACACAAAGAAAGAAGAGATGTAGAGCTGTGAATCAAAGAGACAAGAGGAGCAAAGAAAGACTTTTACCTCAACCTTGCAAGTGTAACCAGTAGCGTTAGACACCACCACTCTCCAGATGCCTTCGCCACCCAAAGACATCCGGAGCTCCCATGCAAGCACGGCTAGGCGGTACATGCGTGTTCCAAGAGCAGCGTAGATCTTGTGTACCAGCGCCTCGAGCCACATCACGATTGACGAGGCCAGGCTTCTCACTCCCTGCGGCCTCAGCACGCAAAGGTACATATGGACGTGCTCAGCTCTTCCTTCTGCGACTTCCAGCTCTTCCAGAGCGCCTTGGAGCGCCTTGATCACGCTCTCAAAAGTGCCATCCTCGTCCAGCGTCTTCGTTTGCCTCACGAAAGTCCGTAGAAACGTGCGCTTCACCGTCGACTTTCCCTTCTTCTCCTGGACAGAGTAAAGATGCCATTGCCTGTCCCGTGACAGTGAGTACTTCATCGTTCCAAGCTCCTTCAAGTTGTCCTGCAATAACGAAGGAAAGTGTTGCTTTGGGGTGACGAGGGAGGATTGATTCTATACATACCAGCTCAAGGAAACCAGAGAGAGGTGCCTCGACGTGACGGTAGAGCGGGTCTTCTGCATATGATTTCGTCTCCTGAGACCAGTGAAAGCAGTGGCGGATTGGACCCCTGCCTTCGTCTCTTTGGATGATGCAGCTCACAACTCCAACTCCGGCAGCTTGCAGCAATCCTCGCAAGGTCTCACCCTTGAGTCCCTTGGCGAGCTTCTCGACTCTTTCTTGCGTCTGCCCCTCATCACCACTGCAAAATGTTAAGTGTGTCACACCACAGGCACAAAAGCTCCTTCATATACCTGTCTTGATGAGCACTCAGCTGGTTCTTCCTCCCGACGAGAGCAATATGGAGCACGTTGCCAAGGCGGGTATGGTTAGAGTCCTTGGTCTCCTGCGTGACACCAAACCACTCTTCAAGCGCAGTCCGAACAGTAGACGAGAGTGTGTTCAAGGACGAGAGGACCGCCATGGCCCCACGCCATTTGACTGGTTCACTTTCTTCTGCCGCTGCTGCCACCCGGAGAGGCCCTTCCTCGTAGAATTGCCACGAGGCTAGCATTGCCGAGCGCTGCCATTGCATCCGGACTGAACCTTTCACTAGATATGGCTGCGAGGCCCGACAAGTTTGTCAAGAACACACACACAGAACAAAGTACCTGATACAGCCTTCGGATGTAAGTCTCGATAACGCGCCTTTGCAACGTGTGATCGCCATGGTCACCGTGATCAAACAACGCCACAAGAGCATCTTCCACAGCAACCGGTGCGTCAACCCAGTATTCCATTCTCTCGTCGATAGCACTCTTGCCAGATCGCTTTGAGCCGTTTTCGTCCTCCGTAAACATTCCCAGCTCTGATAGACTTCGCGCAATATCTGCTCGAATTCCGCTCAACTTAGATTGTTCCAGAAGAAGGCTCGACTTTACCGCCAGCTGCATTACCACCACGTTACTACACACAACCAAGGAGGAGTTTACGTACCTCCGTGTAGTTTGAGTCACTCAAGGCCGCCAAACGCACAAGTTGGTCTCTGTATGCGGAGGGGTTAGGATACACGAGAGCTTCGATAAGGCGTAACATTAAGGCGTTCTTAGTCTTGATACCCTGTGTTCTCCAGTTACTTAGCGTTCTTAGTTCTTAGGGAGGAAAAACATTACCTGGTGAGAGAGCACAATATCGACAACCTTCCAGAGGTCTTTCTTGTGGACGTGTCGAAGGCTTTCGATGACGTCAGCCTGCAAAGCAAAGAATTTGGAGCTCGTGATTCAAAAAAGAGCGAAGCTCGATACACACCTGTGTACCGGTGCCTTGGCTGAAATGCTCCTCGACGAGCAAATACTCCTCAAAGAGTGCTTTTACGATGCTGCAGGCGTGACCCCGGCGCCCCCCCTCGTATGACTTGGCTAGCGTTAACAAGGGCTCCACAAGCCTTTCTTGTGTCGCCCTGTCTTGATCGGTTGCGGAGGCAAGGAATTCCTACAAAGAAGGATGGCTTTCGTAAAAAAACAACGTAAGAACTCACCTCTAAAACTTCCCGCACTCCCTTGGCAGGAAAGTCTGCAGCTCCTCGCTCGCTACCAGACGAGGCTTCGTACTCTTTCAGCTTCAGATCCAGCTGTGTAGAACACAGTAAGCTGCGTGCTCATTCAAATGAAAAACCCACACTGTACCCGAGCTTTCAAGTTGGTCGGGATTCGGCTTGCGAGTACTGCAATGCATTCTTGCCACTGAAGAACGGGCAGCTGAGGATCGTCCAAGCAACTGAGAAGAGTCTGCACAACCTACAACCCACACAAAAAAGTCTCGTAAAGCTTAAGCCAAATGGACTAAGTACTGATCAGCTTACCTCGTCCACGTTGTGTTCGTAACCGGCGAGTATCATGTTCGAGGCATTAATGATCAAGGCACAGCGATGATGAACCTTTCCAGGGACCGGTATTGGAGTTCCAAGTGCCGGAAATCCTTCCGAAAATGGAACTGCTTTTCTCACAGCAGAAGGATCATCCAAGTCGAGCACCGCAATCAAATCGCCGGCCTGCACGGACAGAACACACAAAGCAAGATAACAAACACTAAACCGACGGTAGAACGTACCACCATCGCTTGTGCTTCCAAATGCTTGAAGTGGATTGTGCCGGAAGCCGGTGAAAGAAGAGGCATGCACATTTTCATAACTTCCACCTCGGCGTAGGGTGTGTCGGTGTCAACATGGCTACCGTCCGCCACTAGAAAGCGCATTAGCTTGCACGGGGTCTCCGCTATCAGTCGTGACGGATCATGATCGTTCTGCACAAACAAACACAGCTTCAGCAAAAACAAAGAAAGAAACCAGGGGAAGAAACTCTCACCTGTAACAAGCATGTACGTCCATCAATAAGTAGCCTCGTTCCAGCGGCTTCCTCCTCTCCATAGACAACATGGCTGTTCCCATCCAGCTGATGGATGATCCAATGAGCAATAACAAGCAGCGGTAACAAAGCACAAACCTGGACAAGTAGACCTCCGTCTCGCAGCGTGTGGACCTCGGCCTCGACTCGAGAATTATTCATATTTAATCTGTACGTCCCGGGGCCACCTTTTGTTAATTCCATCTGTGCACACACACGCACACACACACACAGTCACGCAGTGAGAGAGCGAATTGATAACAAGGCGAGAAGATGGTTGCCGTTTACCGTGTATTTGCTGCCATCGATGTTGAGCGACGTGCGAAAATTGACGAGAGAAATGTTCTGTTGAGACGAACTAGCGAAAGGATTAGTAAAGAAGAACCGCAAGCATTGCTTACCTTCGGTGGGATTTGTCCTTTCTCAAGGTAGCCTATGTACTCGGACACTCGTGCTGCACAAAGTCTTGATGTTCTCTGGCACATAAACGCACAGATAAGGTGTTATGCTTCTCAAAGCAAGGAGAACTTACGTAAATGGCTCCACAAACCACCGATAGATACCACAAAGGCCGCTCGGCCCGCAAACGCATGGCAATCCGGCCGTCCAGCCAGCCCGTATGTATCTTGTTGTTCTTGTACTCAGGCGCCTACAACGCACAAGTATTAGTGACAAGACTCCACATTGCGTGCATTACAAAAAGCTTACGTGAAGAAGATCGACGGTGTAGTCAACGTTGGTATGGATTTCACCTCGGATGTGCAGCTCTTTGAGCCCAAGTACCATGTTTGCAATGGCGGCCGGACGTGTCTCTCCAAACGCAAAGACGTGTCCTACAGGAGGCGCAAGAGCAATCAGCAATAATTAAGTGTGTCCTCGACTGGAAACGTACCAAACTGGGAATCGGAGAACTCGTGGATGCCACCACCAGACTGCAAGACAGGCCTCTCAGGACAGGGTGAAAAGGGAAAAGATAAAAGAGGTTTTGCCGCACCTTTACAGAGAAATAGGCCCATATATTCGGTTTGCTTCTAAAGCTCACTTCCTGAAAAAAGCAGAACAAGTCTGAAGCAAAAAGAGACGCAGGGATATTGACATACCTGCACTTTGCCAGTGGTGGGCTTGAAACCATCGTCCGGATCCTCGCTAGTGACACGCACGGCTACAACATGTCCCCTGGGCTTGTTAGCCACTGCTGTGTCAAAGTCGAAGGCCACAGCGGTATCAGCAGCAGCTGCGTGCCAATTCGTCTGGTTGTGGACGAGCTGGTCTTCCTTGCCGTAAAACCGCCTGATCTCTGGAGTACTACGTCTACTTTAGCTCCCCACGATGCGAGCATACAGGTAAAGAAAAGAAAAACAAAACATACCCGGTATCTTCCAAAGAGGAATCCCCATGCCAACCGCGAGCTGTGCCGCAGGTAAGTTAACTTCCGCGATCCACTCGGTCACCGGATGCTCTACCTGAAGGACGCGGTAAGAGGAGGCAAGATATAAGCGAGACAAACCTGTAGCCGCGGGTTGAGCTCGAGAAAATGGAACTCGCCAGTCTCCATACTGTAGAGGTACTCCACAGTAGCAGCACCAACATAGCTGACACACTGTGCTAGTCTTCGAGCGCCTTGCTCCAAGAGGCGCACAGTCTCGGGCGGAGCTATGGTTATCGGCCCCTCTTCGATTATCTGCGATGGCGTTTGCGTTAGTGTAGTAGCAATGCGTTCCTTGGTTTTACCTTTTGATGGCGCCTTTGGACGCTGCAGTCACGGCTGTGCAACGCAGCGACATTGCCATACTGATCACACAGAAGCTGGACCTCCAAGTGGCGGCACTAACCAGAAGAAACAAAAAGAGAGTTTTTTTTTTTTCACGGTGTTCTTCGTTCTTTACGTACCTGAGAGGCAACTTTCATGATAAAGATCGGCGAGCCCGGTACTTCGCCTTGCACTTGCTTAAACAAAGCCTTGACCTCTTCGTCGTTGTGAACCTACAGGAGGAACAGTAGTCAGCTATAAAGAAGAGCACGAAGAAAGCGAAACTTTTTGCTCTAAAATACCTTGCGGATCCCTTTGCCACCGCCACCCCAGGACGCCTTGATCATGGCCGGGTATCCAATCTTCTGGCACATCGCCAGCGCTTCCTCGGCCGAGAAAACGCACGCTTGCTTGTAGAGCTCCTCGGGGATCCCATCTCTACAGCTCTCAAACGGCACAGCAACCTGTGGATCAAAGAAGCAAAGAAGTGTGACTTGACGACGACGAGCGCATATAAACTCACGTTGGATCCACTCCAGGGAAGCGTTGGAACTCCAGCAGCCTGCGCGATGAGCGAGGATCCGATCTTATCTCCAAGAGCAGCCATAGGCGCCGCGGGAGGCCCCAAGAACACGATATTCCTCGCAGCGAGCGAGCTGGGAAGATCGGGATTCTCGGAAGCATGCCCCCATCCGGGCCACACTGCCGCCACGCCGGCTCGCTCGGCCACCTGGGAGAGACGCGAAGAACACCACGATCACAGCGAGAAGAAGGTGAGAGCTGGCGCTCTGGATCATACCTCGGTGATGAGCTGCACATTGGCGTAGTTGTTGTTGTTGGTGCCGCCGGGCACCTCGACGAACTGGTCGGCCATGCGGATGTGCTCGGCGTTGATCCTCATGTCCTCGGGCGTGGCCATGGCGACGAGCACCACCGCCCTCTCCGCGCCAAACGCCTCGTACGCCCAGGATCTGACGCTGCGCATGAACTTGACGGCGGCCATGCCATTGTTGGCAATGAGGATGCTGTGGATGGGCCGCGCGCCGCCCAGCGAGAAGCAGTAGTCGTCCACCTGCGAGTGGGGATGCCCGTTGGCCTCCATCGCTGCGCTCCAATCGCCCTACTTACCTAGGGCTCCACTCGCGCGAGCTGGGCATTCTTATGGCAATTGGAGAGGAGAGCTCTTTGGGCTCTTCAAGGGCGGAGAAGGATCCACGCCATTGTCATGGGTTTTGGGGCCAGTTAGGTGGGGTGATGTCTTTTTGTGTGTGTGTGTTTGCTCACACCGGTGGATCAAGTCAACACAAAGGAGGAGATTGATTTGTTTGGGCAATGGGGTGTGTCTAGAATCTAGATCTAGGTGAAGATCCAACATCATCCTCTAACTTGGTATCTCAAATGCTCATCCAACAGTGCTCTCTATCTAGTTTGCCCTCCAAGCTCAAGTGGAGATAACTGGGGGGCTCTCGCAAGAGCTGCAGATGCCTAGTTGCGGCAAATGCCGAATCGCACAGATCATATCAGAAGATGACGAAACAACACAAGTCTAACCGGGGTTGACTTGGAACCAGAGATTCTCTACGTACGTCCACAGTCAACGTGATATCGTCATGTTTCCTCAAATGGGCATTCTTTAAGAGACCTCGGAGACTAAGTGGTGTGATTCAAGCAAAGGGAAGCTGGCTAAGCGAGAAAAATCTAAGAAATGAAAGAAACTTTTTTTTTCTTCTAGAAAGAACAAAATGCAACTTGTGCGAGAGCTGCTGTGAAGACAAGCTCTACGTATGTACGTCCTTGCCCAACCGAACTCCTCCTGTAAAGAACACCTCGGATTGTGATGCCATCTTTGCACTAGATCCAATTCGCCTCTGGAAGGCCTTCGTAATTCCTTGATTTTAGCATTCCAACTGTATAGATGACAAGAATGCCACGCCTCTTCTACTAGAATCCAAGGATTCTGGACACTTTTGAACACTCAATGCCTTGGAAAACCTTCCTTTCTATCCCGAAAGCCTCCTTTTTGTCTCCAGATTTGATCGCTTCTCCTGCCAAAATCTCAAATCCTTCAAATGCGCCACGTTGATACCTGTTCTATCGCACAAGTCAGTGACGCGTCCGTTTCATTGGTTCAGCTAGGAACTTTTGAAAGATCGCACACTTAACTCTAAAGTGACGCCGACACAAGAATGTGTTCTTCCGTGAGCATAGAAGATCTTTCTCCAAACTTTTATGGAATTGGGACCCTCGTCCTTCCATCTCCGCCACCCTGCCTGGAAAGATGGCCTATGATTCTCTTCTGGAGAAACACTTTTAGCAAAACATGTTCTGTTTATTTTCAAAACACAAGAGACAGTATTTCTAACTTGATCACATCTTGGAAAGCTTTTCACCTCTCTCAGTCGCTGCAACAACAGCATTTATGAATGCAGCTCTAACTCCGCCTTTCTCGAGCTCGTGCAGTCCTGCTATCGTGGTTCCTGTTTTTTTATCCAAAAGCCACTAATTCAAGACAGAGAGAAAGGAAAAAATATATGTTTGCAATACCTCCAGGAGATGCTACTTCGTCTTTCAGCAATCCCGGATGCTTTCCTGTTTCCAGCACCATTTTGGCCGATCCATAAACCTGCGATACAGTTAAATAAAGGAAAAGAACCTCAATGATCCAGATGAGACAAAGCTTACCGTTTGTGCTGCGAGTGACAAGGCAATGTTTCTTGGCAATCCAGCGGCCACTCCGCCATCAGCAAGAGCTTCTATAACGAGGAAGATATAAGCAGGGCCACTACCACTGCACAGCACCAAAAACGTATTCTTCTGTTAACAGGCAAGAAAACGAATGAAGAACAAACACTTGATCTACCTTACTCCCGTCACAGCGTTGAGGAGCTTCTCGTCGACTATATGAATTTTCCCCACCGCCTCAAAGAGCGACTTGACGAGATCAGCGTCTTTGTTCGTCGCAAACAACCCCAGGCTCATAGCTGACAAGAAACGAAGAAAAGATTCAGTTGCGGAGTCTACAGACACAAACGTAGTCTTTTTGTTACCAGCGGCTGTCTCTCCCACCAGACATGGAGTGTTGGGCATTACCCTCACGATTCTTGCCTCTCCTGCCCATTCCTAGCTCCACGAAATGGATCAAAGCAGAAAAATCTAAAGAGGACTTACAAAAACTCGTCGCACACATACCTGTAAGCGATCCAAAGTCACGCCTGCTGCAATCGACACAAGCAAGTGTTCTTCCGTGAGCTTTGGCTTCAAATCCTTGACGACGATGCTAGCTGCACTCTTCCAACAGCCAAGGAATCACTAAAAGAGGCATACGAAGAAAAAGAAAAAAGGCACAAGGAGAAAGCTTTACCAATCTGGGGCTTCACTGCGAGAATTATGACATCGCTGCTGCTCGCAACCTGATCAGAGATAGAATCCCGTCCAATCTGGAGAGGGAAGGGAAAATGTAGCTTACCTCATGGTTGGATTCAACAGTTTTGACGCCCAATTGCTCAAACACGCGGCGCCGGGCCTCGCTCACATCGGCTGCGATCATCCTAGAGAACGGGACGACCGATGCCCGGGACAAGCCCCGCGCGATCGCCTCCGCCATGGCGCCGGCGCCGACGAATCCGACTCGACACCCCATGTTGGCCTACAACCCTAAAACCCCCAAAACCCCTGTTGAAAAGAGCATATTCCAAATAAATTAGGGCTCTTGGGAAAATGCATGATCGGCCTTCTTCGCAGATGGGCGCATTCTCAGCCGGATTGCGCAGCGCAGGGCGTGTTCGCCAAGGCTCTGGATCAGGATGCCCTTGCGACGCTGCTGCGATCGTGTGGGGCGTCCAAGAATCTGGCCAAGGGCAGGCTCGCGCATGGATTCCTCGTAGCCGGAGAGCACAAGCACAACAGATACCTCGCCAATCTCGTCGTCCAGATGTATGGAAAATGCGGCAGCGTGGCCGACGCTCAAGCCGCATTCCAGGAGATCTCTCATCCCAATCTCTTCTCCTGGAACATCCTCCTTTTTGCATATGCCCAGAACGGGCATCTTGATCGTGCGAAGGAGGTATTTGATTCTCTGGAGAGAAAGAACGTTGTGACGTGCACGACGATGCTACAGCTCTACACTCAGCACGGGGAATTCGATCTTGCAGAGGAGCTTTTCGAGAGCATGGCCGATCGAAACACTGTGTCTTGGAACACAATGATCACCGCGTATGCCCAGGCCGGGCATTTGCAATCTGCGAAGAAGATGTTTGATCGAGCGCTTGTCAGGGACGTTGTGTCGTGGAACGCAGTCGTCCAGGGCTTCTCGCAAAACGGATCCCTGAGTGGCGCCCGGGAGATCTTTGAGAGAATGCCGCAGAGGAACACTGTGTCCTGGAATCTCATGATCTCCGCAGTGGCTGCTCACGGCGAGGGGAATTATCTAGAAGAGATGAAGTGTCTGTTTGATCAGATGGAAGAGACGGACGCGCTGTCGTGGAATCCTTTGATCCAAGCTTATGCTCAGAATGGGGATATCGATCAAGCTTGTCAACTTTTCGATGATATGCCCGAGCGAGACGTGACTTCCTGGAACATTATGATCCAATCGTTCGTTGAAAATGGGATGGCAAAAGAGGCCGAGTTTGCCTTCCAGAAAATGCCCGAGCAAGACGTGGTTTCCTGCACTGCGATGCTCGCTTCGTTTGCCAAGTCTGGGAATCTCAACAAGCTCCATGCCACCTTTCGGAGCATGCCGGAGAGAAACACAGTAACTTGGAACGCTTTTCTACAAGGATACTGCGAAAACAACCGTCTTCAGGAGGCTCTGAAGGTGTTTAAGAGAATGCCCGAGTGGACTACTGCGTCGTGGAACTCGATGATCCCAACTTATGCCCAATCTGGGCATCTTGACAAGGCCAAGTCAACGTTTGAGTCTATGCCTGACCTGGACATCGCTTCTTGGACTGCGCTTGTCAAAGCTCTGGGTCACACGGGACATGGATCTGAGGCGCTGGAGGTATTTCGAAAGATGATCCTGGAGGGCCACACTCCAAACGAGATATCCTTTGTGAATGCTCTCTCGGCTTGCAGCCACGGTGGTCTGCTGGAGGAAGGAATCGAGCTCTTCCAGTCGATGCAAAGCGACCATGGAATCAAGGCGATGAGGGAGCACTACTGCGCCGTGATCGATGTTCTTGGGCGAGCTGGGCGTGTGGAGAGTGCCGAGGAGCTCATCCTCGACATGCCATTTTCTCCAGATGCGATTGCTTGGGGGTCGCTACTGGGCGCTTGCAAGCTCCACCGCGATGTTGTTCGCGGAGAGAATGCCGCAGAGAGACTCCTGGCTATGGATCCTCACAACTCAGTGCCGTACCTCCTGCTCGAGGAGATTTATACAAGCGTTGGGAGGAAGAAAGACGTTGCCAAGCTCAAGAGGGTTATGAAGTCGAAAGGATTGATCAAAGATGCATAGCTTCCAATCAATCCATAGTGATTACTCGTCGACTACAAGGCGCTCCAGGATCAACTTGACGTGATATTGTTGTTGGATCTCCTTTGGTACTGGAATGATCTTGGGCGCTTGCTCATGATTCCACTTCTCTTCTAGGTGACTTCTCCTCCTCATGAGATTTCCTCAATCTCGGTTCTAAGCGATACTCTTACCTCCGCGCAGTACAAGCCAGAGGAGTGCCTCTCACTCTCATCGCTCGAATCTAGATCTCCATCGCCAGATACTCTTAAGAACAATATATAATTTATTCACGAAGGAAATTTATTCAAGTCCAGCTTGTTCTAAGAGCTATGGAACACAGGCACAGCGTCCCCTGCTACAGAACTCCTTAAACACTTCCACAGCCTCTTGATCGCAATACGCTGCTGAGGCATCACCATATAGGGGAGTATTCGGACAGCACGCGCAAAGGCAACCTTCGCGAGGACCATCCCTGCAGCCTTGTGGGAGATCTCTGCATTCCTGGGAAGCTACTGCTGACACCAGAAGCGCAAGAGCAAAGAGAGCAGCGCAAACTCTAGGACTGACCATCATCCCAAGATGTGAAAACCTTGGAACACATACTGTCGGTATATATTCGTCAAGAGAGGCCGCCTAAACTGACTTCCAGAAAAGATATACCTTGGCATCTTTTCATGTTTAGGCCTTTCATGTGCTGCTTCATATCCATTCGTTCTTTTTTGACACATACCAAAAGTCAATTGTCAAGAATACGATGTCATTGAAAAACCACCCAAAAACTTATAAAAAATATTAGTAGTACTTTTTTTGAGTTTAATATAAACTTTACACTTTGTAAGCGACTCAAATCAAGGGTTTTCTCGTCGAAGGCTCGAGCAAATTGCACTTGTTTATGTTCCCTGTCAATTATGGATCCGCCACAATGACGACGTTCATGTAACAATCAAGTCTTTGCTCTCTTGGGTGCTTGCCAAGTTCCTCCCCTTCTCCTAGATCAGTGAGCCTTCTAATGGAGTAGGATCGGACATCCCACTTCTCACTCTCCTGCAACAAGCAACAAGAAGTCCACCGCCAGATACATTAAGAAAAATACACACAAGGAAATTTATTTTATCAATTCAAGTCCAGCTTGTTCTAACAAGCTATGGAGCACATGCACAGGCTACAGAAGTCCTTCAACTCTTTCAGAGTGTCTTGATTGCAATACGCTGCTGAGGCATCATCATATAGGGAAATACCTCCACAGCACATGCAAGGGCAACCTTGATCCACGCAAGCTTGATCATGCCAAGATGTGAAGAACCTAGAACCCACTTAATATATATGTGTGTGTGTGTGTGTGTGTGTTTTGAAAATGCACAGTGGGCAGTGACAGCACATGAAAAGTAAAAAGCTTAAGAATATTTGTAAGGCATCTAATGGCCATTCTACTTTGCTCACTAAATCCTCAGGCTTTAAGTCCCCAAAATCACAAGATTAAAATATGCCAGACCTGAAATGGCACTAGCTTGGAAGCATAATTTGCCTTTGGCAAATAATAGGTACTTAAAATAGTCAAGCCAAATGAGATATTTGAAATTTATTTATATTTTATAGAATTTAATTCTTTTAATGTTTAAATTAAAATTTTATAGCTATAGCCTATTATAAATTTGTTAGTAATAAATAAAAAAGTAATAACAATACTGTCCTTTGAAGACAAGTAAGAAATTCAAGTATTATCCTATAAATGATAAGTGATAATCATTGTGACGTGATCAAATCAGTAATTTCCTAGGAGAAATCTAAAATGGATGTAAAAATTGATAAGGAAAATTGAATTGTGAATGATGCCATCAACTAAGTATTAAACAACTACACTAACTATTGTGCCACAGTCAAAAGAAGAGGAGAAAGAAGTTGTTATTGCAAAGGAGGAAGCAATTATTTATTTATGGATGTTAAAAAAGAGAAAAATGAACGATAAAATTTCTTTCATAGGCATTTCTGACATAGAATAATGATGATTCATGGCAAATAATATGGATCATACAAGCAAAAACATCTCATATTTTTAAACAAGATTTTTATACATGTATTTTTCTGTGTACTAAGTTATGTGGCATTATGCAAAAAATGGAACAAAAAAAAAGCATCACACCGAATGCTATTATTTAAGTGGAGAGAGAGTGAAATTGTTGTTTAAAGAGAAGGGATGGCATGAAGCAACACTTTATTTGTTCCTTTCTCATTTCTAAATAAATTAAGGTCATAACCATTTATAAATATCCCTTTGAAAGTGAGTTATAAAGGCATAATTATCTATTATTCATGGAGTGAATGCACTCTTATAAATCTTATTACTTGGTAACCTTATTAATCTTATTAATCTTATTTTTATAGGTAGCAACAAAAATAATAATTAAGTTTATATTACATGTGTTTTTTTATGTACCATTATAATAATGGTATTATCATAAAATATTAGTAAAAATTGAATGATATATAACATTTTTGAAATGTTTTCATACTTTCCTATTGTCCCAAAATTTCACCTTACAAATAATATGTTTGAGCTAATTCCTGCTTATGTACTAAATATATAATAAAATTTGATGTTCAAACATAGGAGAAGAAATAACAAAACCAAAATTATATCATATTAGATTAACTATTTTATAGCATCATTTTAATCTCACTAGAAGAACAATTTTAACATAGCTTGCTCAAATACAACGTTATAGAGCAAGCAGCTCTAGAGCTGGTGGTGTGGCGAGATTTAGCCTGGTAATGAGGTATGCCTAGGGCATGGGCACAATGAGTCCTAGCGATGTCAAGCATAGTTAGGATATTTAAGAAATTGAAGGAGTTATCAATATTTTTTTGAGATTCACAAATATCCACTTACAGTTCTAAACAAAAGACATGAGGTGTGCTGGCACAGTTCACATGATTTGTTTTTTGGCACCCTCAAGTGTCTTCTCCGAGCGGCTAGCTCTCTCTGAATCGCTCAATTGTTGATGAGACACTGACTGTAAGACCATCAGGTTTCTGGATGATCAGGTGTTTAACGTGAATCAGTGAGCAGCTTTGAGCAATGCATGTTTAGGAGGCATGACTGAGCAAAGACTCGACTTTCGCCAGGTGCCAGTTTGTAAAACTATTTTCTTGGTCAGTTGTGTGGCACAACTCTTTCCTCTCACTCCAATCGCAGCCGAGCAGCGCGTAGGGAGCAGTGCTGAGAGAACTTTGGCCCTTTCCATCGGTAAGTTCATAAGCTCTTTCCTTCATGTTGACCACTAACTATTCAGGTCACAGGAAGCATTGGATACAGACCTGGAGGTACTGAGACCTCCAGGCTAGAAGTGATTTTAGAGCTTTACATGGAATAATTGTTCACTCATTGTGCACAAAAACTCTTCAAAACAAGTCAATGTTCAGATTCAAACTTTTGGAACTTCTATTAAGTCTTGCCAACTAGCCGGCATTCGCTGGGCAATTTTTAGTTGTAGCACAAATCAGCATATTCTTTGGAACCTTCGACCAAGACATATAATTAATCATATTTGATCAGTTTGACGCGCCTGAAATTCTAAAACCAAAATGCGCTTTTGATAAGTCCATACTCGTCAATACTCGTTTCACACGCTGCTTAGTTGGTGCCAGGTGGACGCATCTGAGCGTGCCAGCGCACAAACTGCCCGTTAATCTGGCCAGGCAGTGCCACGTTGCTAATGCCCATTGGCCACAGTAGTAATGCATTCTGTGATTTCTAGGTATTTAAAGGACCGTCCGCCCCGCCCAACGGGTCCATTGGCTTTCTATTCTTCCAACGCCGGGGCACAGTCTAGGGTTCTTCGAGGGATTTCTTGGAGCGATTCTAGCACAAGGATTTTCTCGGCGCCATGTCGATTGCCGAGACAGCTGCGGGATGGGGCAGGGACATTTTCGACCGCTGGACAGGTTTGGGGCGAAGCTTGCATTGCGTGTCCGTGGAGAAATTTGAGGCGTCGGAGGAGATTTTGCCTCGCACACCGCTCCTCAAGCCACGGAATCTGGCGGTTTCTAGCCCGCCTCCTCTCTCACTACCGCCGGCAATGCGGCTGAATTTGTCGCCATTGCAATCGCAAACGCTGGCCAACGCGTTCGGGGGATTTTGTAGCTATGAGAATTGCTCGTCTTGCGTCGCGCCTACTCCGACAAGAGGAACTCCAAGAAGCCCTCTCCTGGAGCTCAAGACAGAGATTAACAGATCTAGCTCGCCGGATACGGATAGCAGTCCATCGCTGGGATTTCGGGCCAAAGCAGGGGCCGCCAGCAAGAGGATCAAGGGGAATTCTCCTTCTTTTCGAGGATTGTCGCAAACAAAGTGGGGTGGTGACAAGGTGGCCAAAGAAAACACTGAGAAGCAAATCACAGTGACAGTGGTTTCGCCTTTGAAGAGGAAAAGACCTCCAAAGCTGCAAATTCCCAGCTCGGGTGGTGAGTCGGAGGTTGTCAAGCCGGATCATAAGGACGTTCCAATGGATATCTCAGCGGAGGGAAAAGGCTATGGAATTCACAGCAAAAAGGGTCACAGAGAAGTTCTCGAGGATGCGTATCAAGCTGTTCTTGACATTGATGGAAACTCGAGACATGTAAGCTGATCTCCTCTGTACTTTGATTGCTTGATGACTGGGTCTTTGATTTCTTCTCGTGCAATTGGAACAGTGTTTTTTAAAAATCTTGACTGTTTCTACGTGAGTTTCTGGATCTGATTACTGACTGGGTCGCTGGATTTTCTCGCTACAGGCTTTCTTTGGAATTTTCGATGGTCACGGGGGACGCGTAGCGGCCGAGTTTGCTGCCGACAACTTGTCCCGAAACATCCGTGATGCTCTTGACAATGGAGAACGCGACTTGGAAGCCGCTGTGAGAGTGGGATATCTTTCAACGGACGCTGCGTTCCTTAAGAAGGTAAATTTCTTCGAAAGTCCCCGTAGAAGAAAAGTGAAGAAAAACTCGGCGATGGCTAACTGGAAGGAACTTTTTATTTATTTTGCAGCAACTTTCAAGTGGAGCAAGCTGCGTCACAGCCTTTATACAGGATGGATCGCTGGTGGTCGCAAATGCTGGAGACTGCCGTGCAGTGATGAGTAGAAATGGAGTCGCTGTAGCTCTCACAGAAGATCACAGGCTTGCTCGCGAGGACGAGAGACGAAGAGTGGAAGATCTGGTAAGTGAAGTTTATTTTTCTGTTTGAAGTTCTATGGGCTTACAAGCTTTGCTCTACAGGGTGGCTACGTTGATTTGTACTCGGGTGTTTGGAGATTACAAGGAGTGCTGGCGGTGTCAAGAGGCATTGGTGATATCCATCTCAAAAGATGGGTGTCCGCAGAACCCGAGATCCAAAAGCTCGCCGTCGATGAGGATTGTGAGTTTTTGTTGCTAGCATCTGATGGGCTTTGGGACGTGGTAAGTTGTGTAGCATTTCTTTCTGCCCGCTCTTTTCTAACTCGATTCTCTTGCTCTAGGTGTCGAATCAAGAGGCTGTAGATTGCGTAGGAGACGAGATTAGATCGGCAGAGATGAGTAGCGTTGGAGGATTAGCAGCGTCGACGAAGAAACTGGCCGAGCTCGCGGCGAGCAGAGGTTCTCAAGACGACATAAGCGTCATGGCCATCGACTTGAGACATTTTCGAAATCTTAGGGCGGACGTGTCGCATTGACGTGTCCGTTGACTTCTCACGTGGCAGATCCGTCGGCCCAGGCGGCAGATCTGGGCATTTTTGGCATCCGACGGCTATGGATAATTGATGTGCTGGAAAAGTGAAAATGAAAAGGCGGATGACAGTTGTTTTTCCTTTTTTGTTTACGATTTTCCTCTTTTTCTTTTTTTCTTTTCTTTTTTATATATTTTGATCTTGGAAGAACACCCCATCCTTTGGCGATTGGATCCAAAGCGCTTGCCCTAGATCTCCGAAAAGGCAGCATCGCATTGCTGGGGTTTTTCTTTGCGATCGATCGATCCCATCCATTTGGGGTGTTCCAAGAAGATAGGAGCCAAGATTTTCTCTCGATATTTCGTGGCGAGCTCCTAGCAGCTCGATCCAATGCCTGTTCTGTGAGGGATCGGCCGATCGATCGCTCCATCGGCAATGGCGGCGGCGTCTTGCTTCGGCGATTACGGCGTGGAGGTGAGTAGCGATCATTCAGCATCGCTGGGCAGGAAGGCGGCGGCGATGAATCAAAACTCCGTGTCGTGCTTGTACCGGACCAAGCTCGCGGGCCAATGCCGGATCGTCACAGTCACCTGGTCCAAGAACGTCATCGGTCAGGGCTTGAATGTGGGTGTGGACGATGGAAAGTTTGGCTGCAAGGTGGAGCTCCGGCCATGGCTCTTCTGGAAGAAGCACGGATCCAAAGGCTTCGAGCTGGGGAATCGCCAGGTCGAGGTGTTCTGGGATCTCTCCTCGGCCAAGTACTCGCCGGGAGGGGGCCCCGAGCCAGTGGCGAGCTTCCTGGTGGCCATTGTGTGTGAGGAAGAGATCGTTCTCCAGTTGGGCGATCAGCACCACCCGGGCAAGGGCCTGAGCAGCAGCAGGGAGGCCTGGAAGAGGCTGCGCGCTGCCAAGCCGGCTTCGATCAAGGCGAGCTTGCTTTCCAGGCGAGAGCACCTCTACGGGAAGAAGTTCTTCGCCACCAAGGCTAGCTTCTGCGAGGGTGGTGAGCTCCACGAAGTGATCATCGAGTGCCCGACGCTGGGAGCGGGCAGCCATAGAGGCTGCGGTCACGGAGATGGCGATCACGGCGATGGCGATGGCGACGACTACCACCATAGCCGGAATGGGAACAGTACCAGCGCAAGTGGCAGCAGTGGATTGAGCTCCGGCTCGAGCAACAGCAGCGGTCACAGTAGCAGCAGCCGGAGTAGCAGTGGCAAGCCGAGCCTCAAGGAGCCGAGGCTTTGCATCAGGATCGACCGGAAGGTGGTGGTCCAGGTGAAGAGATTGGCGTGGAAGTTCCGGGGGAATCAGACCATCGTCATCGATGGTCAGCAGGTGGAAGTTTTCTGGGATGTTCACAACTGGTTGTTTAGTGGTGGTGGCAACGCTCCTGCGAATTCCGCGGTGTTTATGTTCCAGATGTGTTCTTCCAGTGGAGAGGAGATCAAGCAGCCATGGCTGAGCCAACAGCAGCAGCAGCAGCAGCAGCAGCGAGATTCTTCCACAGGTTTCTCATTGTTTTTATACGCTTGCAGGAACGATTGATTTGACATAGGGGAATCACTTGCGCTCCAGCTCCTCATGATGTTCTTTTTATTCTTTTGGAGGAATTCATCCAAAGCAAATATATTAGAAATATAAGAACAATCCAATAGTAACACAAGAACAAGTGTGTGCCACCTTTCTGGGATCATATGCTTTTGTTTCTCACCATAAACAAAGCTTGCTCGTGTCTCTTTTGTAACTCCTTGATCTCCTCCTCTTGCTTTAACATGAGCAGCATCATTTCGTGCGCCATTTCTTCGCCATCTTCTTCTCCAGCCTTGTAGAAATCTGTCACCCCACCACAAGACGATGATTCCGCCGCCAGTGTTTGTTCTCTTTCCACTGCGATCCCTTCCCAGCTATACGCATGGTCCTGCGATGAATCACTCCTCCTCAGCTCCACCAGCTTGTTGAACGACGCTGGATCTTGCTCCGGGGGCTCTTCCACCGCCGACAAGCTCGGATTCAAGCTCGACGAGACGCTACCATCGCTAGCATCCGACTTTGGAGTTGCCGGGAAGCTCGTCTCTTCACCATCGTCCGAGGACTCGTTGGAGAAGAAAGCATTCGCCTCCGACGGGTCCGAGCCACCCGAGTAGACCTCTTCAAATCTTCCATACATCGTCCCTTCGCCGCGAGGAGGAGATGCCACATCCACGCACGGGAGCTGTGGAGAAAGGTGCCGCTTGATGTTCCCACTCGCGAAGTGAGAACCATCCGAGGAGACGTTGTCCGTGGCGTCCCCAAGGTTCTTCATGTCATCGCCATCTATGTAGTTGTTTTCTCCATCGCCACCACTCTCGTCAAAGGCTGCTCCTGGCTTCCAGTCCGGGACCAAGTTGAGGATCTCTGCGTCGATCATCTCGGCGATGGTGGTAACATCTTGGTCTGAGAGATCCAACTCCGCCACCATCTCACTCGCTACGCTCAGCGCTGTGTCGCCCTCGACGTCGAAAGGAAAATGGATGTTGCGTATATGACCTGTGCACAGTGCTCGCAAGAAAAAACATAAGATAAGTATGAAAGAGATAAGTTATATACCTTCCGGATCTGCGATCCTCAGCCTCAAGAATATAGTGTCGTCTTCTCGTCGCCTCCCCTTGACTTTGAAATCTATGCTTTTTCTTTGCTGATCCGAATCGCCTTGATCGGATTCGTGATTTGTCACAGCGGAAGACCGCAGCTCCTCCATATCGTCAACTCGGGATTGCTTTCGAATCACTGGGATACATTCCAGAGTCTCTCGCTCCCCGTCACATCGAAGGAATGGATCCATCAAGAGCTCCCGGGCAGGAAGTCTTCTGGAGACTGCTGCTAAACATTTCTCGATGAACTTCCGGACCTCCGGATCCTTCACCTTCTCAAAGGCAGCTGGTTTCTTTCCCTGCTCACGATCAAAATCACACAGACATAGAAAGAATGAAAGATAAGTTCCAAGAAAGAGGAAAAAAGATCAAACTTACGGAAGTGACTCGCTTATAAATCTGTGCGGCATTCGTGCACTCGCTGTAGGGGTACTCAAATGTAACCATCTCCAAAACACACATCCCAAACGAGTATATGTCCACCAGCTCGTCGTATTCTTCCTCGTAAAGCTCCGGGGCCATAAACTCTGGAGTACCTGCAAAACGCCATTACCCTGGATGAGAGGAACCAGGGCAATCCAAGTTACCATCACCATGCCATGCACAACTCTTAGAAAGGACAAAAAGAACGAAAAAGAGGAGAAACTCTAAAAGCACCTCTTAGAAAACGAAACACTTACCAATCACACTGTGAGCAGCGTGAGCTTGTCGAAGAATGGTGGCGAGGCCGAGGTCTCCGATCTTAACTTCGCCATAGTTTCCATTCACAAATATGTTGTCACACTTCAAGTCCCGGTGGATGATGGGTGGATCATGGCTATGGAGGTAGAGCAATCCACGGAGTATCTGCCTGGCCCAGTTTTTCACGGCTTTCATGTCAACATTCTTGTGCTTTTTGCGGTACCTGATGATCATCGAACAGTCCAATGGAATTTCGAAGACTTACTTCAATCGAAAGACTTACTGTCGCAATGTACCGGATGTGAAGATCTCTGTGATGAAGTTGACATTTCTCCGCTTGGAATCCACCCAGGATGTGTAGAACTTGATGATGTTCTTGTGCTTGAGCGTCTTTAGAAGATGAACTTCCGAGTACAAACGCTCAAGATCGTCGGGACTTCGCAGGAGATCTTGGACATTGACTTGGTTCCAGGCAACCTCGAGGCCATCCACTTCATCGAACGCCCGGTATCTAAGATCATCTCAAAAGTCAAGGATCAAACACACACTGGAACGAATCGATCAAAAGAAAGGATACACAGCTTTGAATGCTCCTTTGCCGAGAACTTCGCTGTACTGCAAGATGAATGGACAAACACACTGCTTAGCAAGCTTGGAAGAAGAAGAATGGGCAGCAAGAACTTACCCGACCATAGCGACCAGTGGGATCGATCTCCACAAACTCACTTCCGGCATCACTCTCTACTCCTGGTTTGCTAGCAGGCATTTTAAGCTACTCAATTGGTAGCCCCTTCTTGCCGGAAAGAAGCATCCATTCCGCTAGTTTCATGGATCATCACCCAAACCCCCCAAAAAAGGGGATAGAGAAAAAAAATGTTGTCTCTTCTCTGCGATTCCTGAGCTCTCGTGGAGAGGAAAATCTTAAAATACCAATTGGAAGACGCTGAAGCGAGAAAGAATTCAAAGCTCGTGAGCTCTCATTCCAGATTCACAGAATTGGAGAGCACCGCCAAAGAAGAAGAAGAAAAAAAAGAGAGAGTCGATCGTATGAACTCCGTGAGCTCGCTCAAACCCTTGGCCGCCAACCCGACACAACCAAACTACGCCATCTGGAAGTATTTCGGCCACGTAAGCTCCACCGAATATGCTCATCTCGCCGACGTGGCATAATGGGGTGCGTCCGATGCTGTGGCGGGGCCACCACTTGCGCATGATGAAACCGTCACTTGTGCTCGTAGGTCAACTCTTTCGCGGGCATATCCTATTATCCCTCTCCTTTGTCTCGCGAATCTTTTGTTCTGTGTGCTCAGCACGAGAGAAGAAAAAAAAAAGAAAAGTGTCGTTTGGAACGACGTAGAATGCAGCCTTGGACTTTGCTATACTTCATGAGATGCCGCGGCCATCCTTTTAGCTATCTAATCCCAGCAAGTGGCACCAAAGTCCAACGTTTTGGATAAGGATCATCGCTTTCCAAAACAAAGTTTGCTTCTCTGCGCCAAACGAACAATTCCTTGAAAAGGTCCAAAAAGAAAATCTCGAAGAGAGTTTACCTCTTCGTCTCACAGCGGCCTGAGTAGTGGATAATCTCTTAGCAGCTCATTCTCGGTGAGAGCATCATTCTCGTCTTGTGGCGTCCACAACACCTCCACTGCCTGCAAACAAACCAATGGCCACCACCACTAACAGCTAAAACACTCAAGACGACCAAAACGACTTACGAGCAACTGCTGCACGGGAATGGATCCAAGCTTGCTGAGAGCAGCCTTGAGGTCCGTATTGCTGTTTACTGTGGGTAGCTTGTGTGATCCCTGCACAGCTACCAGGACGGTCACCTACAAAGGAGTTATAAATGTTTAGAGGAAGTGGGATTCGATTTTATACGATCCATGCCTACCACAATGTATTCGTTGTTGAATGTCTTGCCCGAAAACGATCTCGGACTAGTTCGCTTCCTGATGCTGTCCACGCTCACGAGCGTTTCCTCGACGAACTTGCCTCTCTCCTCCAGAGACAGCTCATTGAACCTTGCCTCGCCAGCTTCCACCGACCTCTTTACTTCAGACTGAGAGAAGCCAAAAAAAGAGGAGATTATATCGCAAATTAGATAAAAGAAATAGCAGACTCACTGACGATGTCCCCGAAATGCAAAAGTCCGGATGCCGCATAAGTGAGAGTACAGTTTCTGGTACACCAAAAAATAAAATCAATATTGCATTTCGCAAGAAGAGAAATAAAAATTCGTACCTGTAAGAATATAATGTAGTCCGGATGGATTCGAGGTATCTGCACGATTGGCCAGTTGTTCTAGCTCCCGTTGCAACGAGCGAGCCATTCCAAGCAGGCCTACCTGCAAACAAAATGTTGGTTGAAAACCAAACAAAACGGCAGTGAATTACATCACCTGGAGTTTCATAACACTCGTTTTCGTTGTGCCTATTTCTTGATCGCGATCTACTAAAAAGCCGCTGACGAGTTGAAACGCCACGAATCCAAGCAGCAACATAAGCACGATGCCACCGCCTCCGAACCCAACACTGTATCCCGGCGTCAAATACAATCCACCTCCAATCAAAGGTGATGGAGCCGCGAAGCTGTACGCGTTGAAGCTGGAGCTGGAGCCCCCGGACCGAGGTAGAGAGTACGTCTGGCTTGATCTACCACCACCGCCAGATGAAAACGATCTTCCTCCCATTCTTCCACCACTTGCCGAGAGAGCATCCTCTGGAGAACCCAGTAGTAGCCCAATGAGGAGCAGAGCTATCGCTGGCTTCTGCAGAACCTTCAGAGTATCGCTGATGATCTTCTGGATGTTGCTCGAAACACTGCTGAAAAACTTCTTGGCTCCGGTACCATTCTCGTCGAGCACTAGCAAAGAATTTTCCTTCGTAGTAGCAGCCTGCTTCGTCCTGTTTCCAGGTGCTCCTGCTAGAGCAATGGTATGACGGCCGAGACCAAAAACCCCTCCTGGCCTTGCAACCCGTGGCTGGCTGTATATCTTGAACTGGCGATTGTGGCAGCCGCTACATCTGGTACCGATTTGGCTTGCAAAGACTCCTGCTCTCACAGACATTGTTGCTCCTGTCCCAGGGCACCGCCTATTCCCCGAAATAATCAGACCCGCTTAGCAGCGCTGATTCTTCTCGTACCCAGACTCAAATATCCAATGCACGTGGACCATAGCAGAGTGACCGAGTGAGATATGTTCTCATACGTTTCCAGTACCACATAATTAGCATATTCCAAACGCATCCGTCTTCTTCATAGGCCGCTTCTAAATAACTGTGATAAAGCTTGCAGTGGAGAGATACTCCAGCTCTCAACATGCGAGGTTATCTACAAGAAAAAATGAAAGTCATAATCGAGAGATCCAGAGTGATAGTTACCCTGCACGAGGAGTCAAGCTTGTATTTGGTGGAACCATCCAGCGTGACCAGTGGCCGCCATGGAAGCTTCAAGTATGTTCTACACGCAAACCACTGTCAACACGCTGGGATTTACTGCTTCGTAAGAGACCGACAGACGAACCTTAGCCTCCAAAACGCGACTATAGCTTTTTGATCACTTTCGCAAACCTGAAGTTAATCCAAGTTAACCATTACCCGACCAGAAACGAAAGAAAAAGAAACACTAAGTGAATCAAGCAGTACCTCTGGGTCTGGTTTGATATCCAGCAGAACCAGCGATGGACTTTCATAAAATGGAGATAATAGCATTAAGTTGCGCCTATACAAATCTCTTCCTGGAAAGAGTTTCATTCTCGTCAACCAGCCAGATGATCATCAGTGACTTACCTTGGAATTGTATAGTTGGATCGGCAAAGAAGCAATCTTCTTTGTATATACTACGCGTGAAGTCTCCTAAGAAATTTTTTTAAAAAAATCCACACATCATGACCTCAAAAAACCTGTGAGAAAGTAGGATCGATCGTAGTCGGATTTTAGACGCGCCAAAACCTCTTCCAACTGGAAACTCGACTCATCGTCCACGGCAGAATCGCTCACTGCATCAAAATCCCTGCAACAAAGAGTCAATTCACTAGCTGCATTACGATCTAGCTCACCGGCGTTCCAAGAATCGGAGAAGCGCTGTTGCCGCCGACACCGCCACTCCAAGCGCGCCACTCTTCCTCCTCCTCGCGCACGAAACCCTAACCCCAAGGCCTCGTGAAGGAGTAAAATTTTCTCGCGGTGGAGAGGAGCACACAGAACGAAATTTCATCGCCGTTAGCATTGTGTGTTTTTGGCCAGTATCGAACCTCAGACCTGGCCTGCTGATAAGGTCTTCTCGCAAAAATATTTACTCACTGTTAGGCCAATGGCCGCGGCGATGGCGGGTCTCTCTGTGGAATGGAGGCCATCTCCAAATTCTCGCCCGCGCCCGCGTGGATCGGCTTGCCGAGCTTCCGGATCGCAAATGGCGGTGTCCGTGGAGAAGAAATTCGTCACGCGCAAGTCCGAGGAGATTTTCAAGGAGGCCAAGGTAGGCTATTCCCACATTCTACTTGTTCTAGGGAGATTTGCCTTGCCGAGGAGCTGTAGCTTAGAACCAGGCTTTTTTCTCCTCTTAGAACGGAGCTTATCGAGCTATATTTTCCAGGACTTGATGCCAGGAGGAGTAAATTCGCCGGTTAGAGCTTTCAAGTCTGTGGGTGGGCAGCCGATTATCTTTGATCGCGTCAAAGGATCGCGAGCTTGGGACGTGGATGGAAATGAGTACGTTGATTATGTTGGCAGCTGGGGTCCTGCGATTATAGGCCATGCCGACGACGAGGTACTCTACTTTTTCTACTTTTTTGTATGATCGATCGATGAGAAAAACTTCGCTGCCAGGTACTTAAAGCTCTAGCCGAGGCTGCGAAGAATGGTACGAGCTTTGGTGCTCCCTGTGCCGTGGAGAACGAGCTCGCAAAGCTCGTCATCGACGCAGTCCCAAGCGTGGAAATGGTCCGGTTTGTCAACTCGGGCACAGAGGCGTGCATGGGAATGCTGCGGCTTGCAAGAGCCTTCACGGGGCGAGAGAAAGTTATCAAGTTCGAAGGCTGCTACCATGGCCACGCTGATTCGTTCCTCGTCAAAGCTGGGAGCGGTGTTGCAACGCTTGGACTCCCGGATTCGCCCGGAGTGCCTAAAGGAGCCACTTCCTCGACGCTTACTGCGGGTTACAACGATTTGGATGCTGTGAAGCAGCTCTTCCAAGACTACAAAGGCGAGGTTGCTGCCGTAGTTTTGGAGCCAGTCGTGGGAAATGCCGGGTTCATAGCTCCCAGCAAGGAGTTTTTGGAAGGATTGAGGGAGGTGACGAAGAACGAGGGCGCTCTTCTCGTTTTCGACGAAGTCATGACCGGATTCAGGATAGCTTACGGAGGTGCACAGGAATACTTTGGCATCACTCCAGACTTGACAACGCTGGGTAAAGTGATTGGTGGGGGACTGCCCGTCGGTGCCTACGGTGGAAAGAGGGAGATCATGGAGATGGTTGCACCGGCTGGTCCCATGTACCAAGCAGGTACTCTCAGTGGAAATCCTTTAGCAATGACTGCTGGAATTCACACGCTCAAGCGGCTCCAGAACTCCGGGACGTATGAGTATCTGGACAAAGTATCGGGAAAGCTAGTTCAAGGCCTCCTGGAAGCTGGGAAGAATGCGGGGCATGATATGTGCGGTGGATACATCCGGGGGATGTTTGGTTTCTTCTTCGCTAAAGGCCCAGTCCACAACTTCGAGGACGCAAAGAAGAGTGACACGGCAAAGTTTGCGAGGTTTCACAGAGGCATGCTCGAGCGAGGCGTCTACTTGGCTCCGTCCCAGTTTGAAGCGGGTTTTACGAGCTTGGCTCACACGGAAGAGGACATTGACTTCACTCTAGCCATGGGCAAGGAAGTACTTTCCAGCATTTGAAGGTATACACTGGCTATCAGCTTTTTTTTCTTCGAAGGAAATTCACAGCTTATTTTGAGACTTATATTACAGAGTTTTTACGATCCCAAGCAGAGCTGATATACTTGGCCGTTCTTCTCGACGCTCAAGCGCCTAAGCCCCTCAAAGTTTCGTCTACTTCCCAAGAACTCGTATCTCTTGGTTGGGACGTAGCCAGCTTCGACCGTCTCTGGAGCCGAGTAAACCGCTCGAAGCCTCTCGGCGTGCTTGGAATCCGTGTACACGGCAACCTCGATCTCGCTACTCGACAATGGCTCCTGCGTAAGTCGAGCTTAGTTTCCTTTCAAGTTTCCAGTCCACAGAACTTCGCAGTGAGTTACCTGGTAGAAGCCATAGACGTTCTCCAGGATTTGCTGCCTCGTGAATCCTTTCTCGGAGAAGAACGGCTTTGACGATGGCCCCATCTCCGAGAATCTATCCAGCGGGAATAAGATCGTCAAAAACGCTCCCTTGTAAACGACGTCTTGCTTCTCACTGTTCCAAGTAGATGCAGCTTGTCAGCGAGATGAATTAGAAGAAGCAAAGCAGAAAAAAAAAGAGTTTTTTTGTGAAGAGAGCTTGCCTATCGTTGAGCGGTCTCACATAGACTTCACCACTACTCGAGTCTTTCCCACTCTCCTGGGCGTCGAAGTAATCCGAGGCTTGATCGTAGTGCCCGGTTCCATCCGAGTTGTCGAGATAGAGCTGGGCCGTCGACGGTGGCTCCGACACCGACCAGCAAATCGATTCCATCATGCTCTGCGGCGTGATGGGACGAGGCAGTGCTCGGCAAGGCTGCGAAAGTTGGCAAAGAGAAAAAAGAGAGAGAGAGATTTTTTACTCGAAGAACGCAAAGTTTTTCTTGGATAGAGAGAAAAGAGCTACGAACCTGCATGCTCGGTCCTCTACGCCTTCGAATACTATCCCTGGCTGCTCGAACTCTGGACTCCGATTCATCCAGCTTGAGCTGACGAGTTTGCGAATCTTCTCGAGCACAAAGCGCGAGCATTTTCCTACTGCTGCCATGCTGCTGCTGCTGCTGCTGCTGCTGCTGCTGCGCTGCTGCTGGCTCGGATTTCTACAGAAAAATAGAAACCAACTGAGATAGATCACGAAAACTATGGAGTTTCGATCAGTCACCTTGTCTAAAAGGTGTGGAAAATGCCTGAGCAAATCAAGCGAGATGTGTACGAGGTGGTACCACGCGTGCTCTTTCACTGTTCGTAGCACCCACATTGGCTGGAAAGAAAAGCTCAAACGAGGAAATGGTGGCGAGAAAAAGGAAGGATTTTGCGTACTTACCGATACCAAATGGATCTTGTATCCAACGTACTTGACAAGGGCATTGTCCTCGCAGACAATGTGTGTCGCGTTGCATCCGATATACCAATCGCTTATGCAAGTAGCTCCTTCTTTCACTGCTGCCTCTACAACCTTTTTAAGTCGCGAGGAACGAAAAGAGCTCTTGAGAGATTTTACTTTAAAGGAAAGAGCTAAAGAGTTCTAGAAAACTTGCCTTGATTTGCAACTCGGTGGAGATATCATTGTCAATGTAGAAGCAAATGCCGGAAAACATCGGCTTCCTGGGAGCCTTGGGGAATTCGGTGGAGTTTTTGTTGTTGCTGGCCATTGGAACGACTTGCAAGCTCGCGAGAGGCTTGTTTGTGAGAGGCGGGAGAGGAGCACTGAACGATGGTTTCTGCGGCATGCAAGCGGCTGGATCATCGCGTGGTAGCGAGTTCTCGGCGGATTCAAAATCTCCTGTCGTAGCATCGTACTTGGATTCGTCCAGTCGCTCTGGAAAGAAAGATGAGTTGGCTTGCCACCAAAAGAAACGAAAAAATCTACCATTGAGCCTTGCGGAATTGACGAACCAGGAGAGTGTCACTACAAACAAGCCTTTCTTAAACCTGTTCTTGAGAGCGTGCTCGTATTTGCGGCCAGCACTTCTGTGGAAAGAATCGACAATCAAGGAAAAACAAAGATCATAAATAGTAGTCACTAAAGTTTTTGGATATCTGGACGACGAGATGAGTGCATCCAGAGTGAAGATCTGGACTGTAACTTCCTCCCAATCTCTCGGTTGTGATCTGGACTTGCTTTCGAGCTTCTGCTCCAAATCAACCACAGCAATTCCAATCAACCACCATAGCCAAGGCCAAAAGCACAGAGCCAAAGAAAGAAAAGATTTCGAAAGAACGTACCTTTGGAGAGACCCGTGACACAGATTGTGAGACCCGAGAATGGTCCTTTTGGAAGGATGCGTTCGTCTGCTCGTGGAGTCCCAATTCCAATCCCACCACCGCTAGCTTCTCTGGAACAAGGCGGAGGAGCCTTAACTTCCGATGCCCAAGAACAGCCGCTCTTGAGCACCAGCTCTTGCATCCTGTGCTGGTAACTCATCCCCAAAACACACCAGCGAGAGGGAGAGGAAGAATTCCCAGCTTTTCTCCCTTTTCACATCGGGAGCTCCTGATCAGCCCCGTGCATTGATTGACGCCCGGAATCTGCCACTGCTTGACGAAGAAAGGCGGAAGCACCTCCATTTATCTAGTTGGTTTTCATATGATCTAAAAGCGAGAAAAAAAGAAACAGAAGAAGAAGAAATCCACCACACGAAAAGGGTTGATTCAAGAGCTTTGTTACAAATGATCATGGGTCAGAGAAAAGAAATGTCCTAGCACAACAAGACATGGGATCAAATAGGCCAATACCAACAAAAAGAAAAAAACTGGGCTTCTGCTTCAATTCATTCATTCATTCATTCATTCATTCATTTGTTGGGACACACCTTTCCCTGGCGCGTTTGTCACGGGTCAATTTGTCCCATAGTAACAGGCATAGTCAACGATAGTCAACAGGGAACCTCAGTCAATAGTAAATATTCACGGTGAACATGAATTTCCAGAAATCATTGAGAGAACCATGAATAAGAGATATTAGGCAGCTTTTGTTGGTCCAAATTAGAAGCTAATATAGTTGCCAGCTTTAAGAATTAGGTTTTGTCTTTTCGAAAATGGCTACGTCGATGGAACCGGGAGTTTACTGGCGTGACAACAAGAAGCCCTGGAAGCCATACAAGCAAGAAGTTGCTCAAAAGATACTTGACAAGTATTTTGAGGTACTAGGTTTGCACGGTAACTGTATTGATTTCTCGACAATGGAGCTGACGAATGCATGCACGAGAGTTGATAGAATCGTCAAGATAGTGCTTGTGCCTGTTGAGGACCTACTCCTCCAACTGATCGATGCCAAATTCCTGGAGAGAGTCATCACTTGCCCCGGGGTCACCATGCAAATTCAGCCAAACAAGCTAGACTCGTCTTCAGCGATCTACAGGAAGTTCGTGGGAGCTCTCCAACGCTACGCCACCCTCGACGACAATAGCGTCTTAGGTATGTAGATTTTCCACTGCCAGCTTTTGATTTCTTGATTCACGCAAATGCCTGAAGGTTTAAACTTTATTTTAATGGCCTATTTCTTTCTTGCGTATTGCAGATGAGATGCGGCAAGCGGTGCGCAGTTACAGCATCTCAGACCTCAAATCGTTAGAGTTTGTGTTTCATGGAAGCCCGCTGGAGAACATAAGCTCCATCCTTGAACAAGGTCTTGATCCCCTGAAAGCCAAAGGTAACTATGGCATGGAACCCTTTCTGTGGGTTGGAAAGGACCCATTTGTGAGTGAGCCGTACTGCCGAGGCTCCAGGAAAACAATGGTGCTGTTTTTGGAGCTCAAAAATCATGGTGAGAGAGACTGGTGCTCCACACGCAAACGAACTGTGCCACTTGACAAGAGCCATGTCTTACTGCCGGTCGCAAAGCTTGTCTGTAAGTTTGAATTTGATAATTGGTGAATGGAATTGCAGATTTAATCAATATCGCAAAAACAATGTTATTATATAGAATCACTTTTCATTTCTCAAATCTGTTTTGTGGTAACTAAATCGTTTTAGTGAACACAGCATTAGCAAACTACTCACTTGTTTATGCTCCAGAAGCAATTTTTTACGGGTTTTTCAGTAACAATAGTAAGATCCTATTCACCTCAATGAGCTATATAGTCCTTGCGATCGTTTGAAACTAAACAGATCCTTAATCCTGTTCTTGCCATCTTCCAGGAGTTCCAGCTCCTGCATGTGGAGCTTGCCATAGATCTGGACGCTGAGCTTTCTCCTCATGGGCGCGCCAGATTTTATGTGATTGATGTAAAACTCTAGTAGCTCATCTTTGGTGAGAGCCCGTAGAGCAGCAACCTGGAAAAATATATACCACACAAGGTTTGCTGACGTTTCATAAGATTGTGTGCTGTTCATCACCTCGACTTGCTGCCTGTCAAACTTGCATGCGCCATTGTCAATCTCCATCCAGAAGAAGTTTGTCTCCTCGTAAATGTTTTTGTGTTTCTCGAGCTTGATTTCGACGAGTGCCTCCACATTTCTCTGTCAAAAGTGGGGCAGCAAACATAAATGGTAGCTCCACCAGCGATTACTTACCTGAAATTCCTCGTCACTCATGTTTGTTAGTGTCGTCTCAAATGATTTTAAAAAGTCCTCGACTCTTTCCTCGACACCATTGGGATCCTGCAGGCAGATCCTCCTTCGGAATCAAAAGTATTTACAACTTGAAATTCTACCTTTACGGTGGACTGAACGATAAACTGCACACCTTGGACACCACAATCGTTCCTGAGGAAGAAAAACGAGCCCAATCAACTCCACGCCAATTGGATGTAATAATCTTTAATCGCAAAACCCACCTAGTTACTAAGGCAGTAATATAGCCGAGCTGCTCCACAGATCTAAGCTGATGGAACGCAGGTTGTTTGGCACTGAGAACAAATAGCTCCACGAGAATGTTCATCACTGTCTCGTCTTGTCCCACCTACAAGTGTTCAATCCTTCATAGAGTTAATGAAAATGACAACATACCTGGAGGTATACATGGAGAGCTGAGTTTTCATTGTCGGGATTCAAACCAGATATTGGGTAAAACATTTCCGAGTTGTCTAGTTTTGTGATTCGGTCTTCGGTTGCTTGTGACGACAGCAATGGCTTCGTTTTCGTAGATGGAGAACTGGTAAACCTGTTCTCAATAAGTTCGGCCAAAGCCTCTGCCTCTTTTGTTGTCATGTTACCTGAATTTACAAAATGGAAAACAGCACGTAACATTCGTGAGAGCAATCTGATTTCCAAACCTGCAGCATAGCAATCAGCATATATTCGAGAGAATAATTTGGGGAAAAAGGCTTGCAAATCGCTTGCGTTGAGAGAAGGAAGAGTTTCGAGATAGTCTTTTATGTGCCACCGGTTTTGTTCCATCATCAACGAACAGTAATACATAGCCTGTTGGTATGGCTGTTGAAACTTGTAGTTAACGTAATCTTTCATGAGCTTTTCCTGCCAGACGCAAGAACAGTCAGTGCACGAGAAACCCGCGATATGTCCCATCTCATACCTTTATAACAAGAAACCGATCCTCTTTCACCTGAAAGTTGACCGCCTTGTCTACAATACGTTCCAAAAGACTGTACAGTTTATGATTGTAACCAGTGATGAATAACTGTTAATGCAAGAAAAGTTTTGGTGGATTCATATCGAAGTATCAACAATCTTACCAAAAAACCATGAGAGGTGCGTTGAATAGAATACTGCAGGCCAGCAATTTCTGCAAAATAAGCTGTAACCAGCATACCGGTAAGAATGTTGAGATTTTAGTGACTTATCACAGGCTCACCATATTCGTTCAGATAATCTAGAAGTAGTTTTGTAAAAATTGTCGATAGAACAGATGATTCAGGAGAATATTTGCATTCTGGACAATGCAAATGAATCATAACACAAGCTTTCGGCGTTTGAAACTTGGTATCAGGCTTATACCACAACTTCGACAATGATGAATTTCTCAAAACATAAGGATATTGCATCTGTAAATTCACACGTCAGTTCCATTGCTTGTTTTCTGAGATTTATACACCTTCAGATTTGCTTCCTTCAAGCTGAAGTCTGTAGGAATGAAAGGATTAGGATCTGGCAAATGTAGCCTTGGATCCAACGGAGCGTTTTTCCAGCTCTACATCACTCATTAAAGATGGTTTAAATCGAAAGAAGGAAAAGATAAAACAACAATGCCAACCTCGAGAAGAGATTCAGAAACTCTCTTTGCAGTGTAGGATGTACCATACCAAGGTTCTGTTTCGTTGGTCATCCCTTCAAACTGCTTGGAGGACCAGATGATCCTAAAAAATAACAAAAAAATAAATGTAAAGGGCATTTCTTTGGTAGAAGTGGAAAGTTACCTGACGTTTTCTGGAGTTAAAAACTCAATCTCCTGTTTAATAGCATCAGGGTCAAAAGTTCTTGGCAAGGAGGAACCTGCAAGCCAATCTTCAACCGGATAAAGCTGAACAAGTAGCACTGTTTTAGAAACTTTATTTAAATCGAGAGAAAGCACACCTGCATACTCCCGACCAGACGTGTAACATAATGCATTGGTTGGTACTTATCTTGATAATGGAACTTCATCTCACAGACTGTTCGTATCTTAGAAAGAGAAGAAGAACAATGGTCACAAAATGAAACCTCACGAGAAGTTAAAGTACCTCGTCAAAAAGTGCTTCTGTGACTCCTTTGCGTCCTAGCAGGCTAATATGCTGAAAAGTGAACCCCACTATGTCCTCCATATGTTCTGCTAAGCTCTGCGAGTCTAAGGCACAGAGCAAAACAAAACAAAAAAAAAAGACCTTGGCCTGCATCGGTGAGTTCGATATAAATAGAAAAAAGAGAATAATCCGAACTCCTTTCATTTTCTCCGGCAGAAAGACTGCTCGCCCAGCCTAGTTATGATTTGATGTATCAAACCTTAACAAGGAAAGCTCAAATGCTTACCAAGACTTTTGAGAAGTGCAAACAAAGAACCGTCTGCCTCATGTCCCAGAACGTGGCTAATGTATCGACAGGGTCCAGCTTTGTAATTCTTTAATTCAGGTAGAATTAACCAAGTTAACTCCAGATTATGTCGCTGCTTGATGGGAACTCCTTTGATAATGATCTACATAAAAGCGATGGAAAAATGAAGTTCAACACTAACAAACTACTCACTTGTTTATGCTCCGGAAGAAATGGTAGACCAGGAAAAGATGGAGCCATTTTGCCGGTATTTTTTATGTCTTGAAACGTCTCGCTTACAATTTTTTCAAGCTCGTCCAAGGTTTCTAGCAAATGAGTTCAAGTTAATAAATAAAAGATCCTTATGTCTTTTCTTACCTCTTCCATACACACAAAGGCACATAAGATTTGCCGAGTAGTGAAATTTGTGGAACTTTATCAGCTCCTCTCTCGTATCAATGCCTTTAGATTTCGGAGAAACATCCAAAGTCTCCAAACTACCTGAATTTCCAGCGTGAGTACTTGGATAAGAAGCTTAGAAAAAATGAATACCAGTTCCAAATTTGTGGTAAGGATGGTCTTTAGAACTCACATGTCTCGCAACCTGCACAAGTTCGACCAGTTACATGTTAGAAACGCTTCACTAGAATAAACACATGGCATAATCTAGCAAGCAAACGACACCTGATCAAATCGCCATCTATCGGTGGTAAGGTTTTTGTTATGCTCTATCAAAAGAAAGAGATACGAGCTCAGGTATAAAATTTGACTGCGGCCATTCTTACCTGAATTCACAGCATTGATTTCTCTTGACGTAGCATCTTGCGACATCAAAGGGCAGATAAAAAACTGCGCAAACCTGAAATTCTGCGATCATTAGACATGAAACCGGGAGAAAAATGAAAACAAAAACCTGTCAAGAGCCTGGCTTAAGTGCTCGGCGTTCACGTCAAAGTGGAAGTTTGTGTCCTCGGAGCTCGTGAAAGCATTTGAGTGACCTCCATGCTGCAAACGAGTAGCAGTTTAGACGAGAGAGAGAGAGAGAGAGAGAGAGAGAAAGAGAAATAATCCCATTTGGCCAGCCTACCTCGTTCAAAAACTTGGAGTAATCGTCTTCCAAGGGATATTTCTCGCTGGAAAAGAATAGCATATGCTCTACGCATTCCAAGTTCCATCGTCAAAACCAGCAAGGAAACATAAATCGAGAGGAATTGGTCCACATACCCAGGAAATGCGCAAGCCCTGCAAGCTCCTCGGGATCGCAAAACGATCCAACATTGACATCCATCGCTGCCGCGGCCTGCGCGCCATCACACAAATCCTCAATCCATCGAAAATTTCCGCTACGAATCTCACCTTATCCGTTTCGGGATCGCTGACAAGGAGCACGCGCAGCTCATTCCGGAGCACCACATTCCTGTACTCCCGCTTGTCAGTGCGCGGCTTGACAATCTCGGGCCGGACCTCGCCCATGGATGGAGCTTGATCGAGCTAGGTAAAGAAGAGGGGAGAAAATATTTTTTAGGGCTCTTGCTGGCCGTTGATATGGACGGCTGGGATCATTATAAATAGTGCCAAATCCAAGCTAGCTTTTAGGTCATTGGTTTGGTTTGTTTTACTTCATGGGTGACGGGATGGACGTGCCCGCGTTGATCATCGACGCGGCCGAGAACGAGGAAGAAGTGGCGGAGGAAGAGGCGGCGCCAGCCGAGGCGGCGCCGCCACCCGCGCAAGGAGTAGCCAAGAAGAAGCCGGCAGGGAAGAAGCCAAAGAAATCCAGCACCGCGGCCAAGCGGCGGCCCTCAAAAGACGATCAAGACGCCGCGGATCCATCGCTGGGGGTTTCCAAAGGTGGCAGGAGGATCAAGAAGAAGGAGGAGAGCTTCAAGAGCTACATCTACAAGGTTCTCAAGCAAGTCCATCCGGAGACGGGGATCTCGTCAAAGGCGATGAGGATCATGGACAATTTCATCTACGATGTGTTTGACAAGATCTCGGCCGAGGTCTCGGCGCTCGTCAAGCGCACGTCCAGGCATACCGTGGGAGCTACCGACGTCCAAACCGCGGTGAAACTACTCATCCCCGGTGAGCTCGCCAAGCACGCCGTTAGCGAGGGTACCAAGGCCGTGACCAAGTTCATAGCCCACTAGCATAGGCAATAGTATAGAAAACCCTAAAACTCACGAGATCCCTAGATTCCTTGGTCGATCCTTTGTTTGATCGCTTCCGGGTCATAGCCCTAGCTAGCGTAAGAGGATATGTTAACGCAAGCTTTATTCTTTTTCTCTGCTAAACGCAACCATGGAAGTTTCACTGCGACTGAAAGTGTAGACGTGGCCCGGGTAAATTCGTTCGTTTTTACCCGAAAAACCAAAAGAAAAAAAAAATGGAGGAGAGGAGCGTCAATGGCCGCCACCCTTTGCTGCTGTCCCTCCGTTTTTTGCCGATGTGACTCCAGAGCCGTTGGATCTTCCACGCTTGTTACTTGAGCACACTATACACACTACTGCTTTTTGTGGTATTTGGCTCTTCCATTTCTTAGGGCATTGATTTGCGCTATCGCCCGGATCCAATTTCGCGACTTCTCGGTGCGGATTCCTGGATTCTCCCTCCTCCGCGCCATCGCGCGCGCGTCTTCGGCCGGCTGGGCATCGATCGATCGGCGTCGCAAAAGCTTTTGCGAGCGCGAGGTTGTGGATCTTTCCTCTGGCAATTTGTGTGTTTTCTGGTTTCTCCCTGTGGGAATGCACGCGACGGGGCTTGGTGATGATGAATGCTGCTTGCGCTGCTGGATGTTAGTGGGAGATTAGGCAAGAGCTGGGGCTTATCCCCGGATTTGCAATGGGGGAATTCGCGCATTTGCAAACCCTAGGCTATGTCGTTATCTGCTTGATGCCTCGTGCCTGGCTTTCGCTGTGTTCTTCGCATTGTTTCCCCTCTTTCACCGTTTTTTTTTCTTTCTTGTTTTTCTCTTGGTCTCATTTGTTTCGATCGTTGATTTTGCAGGGCAAGGCGAGTGACTTGTGCTTGGAGGCTGCTCTAAGCTAGACTCATGAAGGTTGTCCATCGTTCTTTGGCTAGGGAATTCCGGTTGGTTTTTTATTCTCTCTAGGATGGTCTCGAAGTTCTTCTTACTTGCAAGTTGCAACTTTGTGTGTGTTTGTTTGTGAACGATGTGTGTTTGCTTTCATGGCATGGCTAGCTTTCATTTGCACAGAAGTGAATGTTTTGCTGCTCTCTTTGTTCTTGCAGTTCTTCTTAGGAGCGACTTAGCATCACAACGGGCACTGCGATTTGCAGTGCCCCATGGATACTGCAGCAACTGGACCAGTTTGGCAACCAACTTCTCTGTCGTTTATAGGAATCTCTGGAGAACAGCCTCATGGTGTTGCGGCACTCATGCAAACGTCGCAGCGCAACCAGCGCCTATGCTATGGGAGCTCGAGCTCTCATGGGGAATTCCCGCTCGCCACCAATCCATCCATTGTTTTGCACGTCCTCACCGAGTGCTGCCTTGATCCACAAGACCTGGCACGGCTTGAGGTAAGTTTTCCGAGTCTTCACTTTCACGTTTCTTACTGGCTGGCCCGGAGCTCACATGTTTTCTTCTTTTTTTTTTATTGTATCAGGCAACTTGCTCATTCTTTAGACACGCCGCCAACTTCACACCCGACGTCACGCTCTCCCTCTCGGAGCTCGCTGCATTGGACATGTGTAAGAGGCGGGCTATCTTCAGACCGATGACGAGCGAGGAGAGGGAGTCGCTCAAGGAGAGCTGTGGAGGGTCCTGGAAGCTGGTGCTGCGTTTTCTCAAAGCTGGCGAGCTTTGCTACAGGCGGGAGAAGATCCAGGCGATCGCGGGCCCTGGCCACAGTATCGTCGTCACCAAGACCGGTGCCGTCTACACCTTCGGCTCTAGCAGTTCTGGGCAGCTTGGACATGGGTCGCTTGACGAAGAGTGGCGTCCTCGTCTGCTCAGGTCTGACAAGAGGCAGAGGGAGAGAGCGTTTCTCAACGTTTTGATGTTTTGGCAGGTCCCTCCAAGGCGTGAGGATCATCCAAGCCACAGCAGGTGTAGGCCGGACGATGCTTATCAGTGACACTGGCCGGGTGTATGCGTTTGGGAAGGATTCGTTCGGGGATCCAGAGTATGGTGGCCCGGGCTCCAAGAACATCAACACGCCGCAGATAGTAGAGTCGTTGAACGGCATTTTTGTGGTACAAGCCGCTATAGGAAACTTCTTCACGGCCGTGTTATCTCGTGAAGGGCGAGTGTATACTTTCTCCTGGGGTGCGGATGCCAAGCTCGGGCACCAGACAGAGCCCGAGGATCAGAAACCGCAGTTGTTAAGGGGAGCGTTAGAGAATAAACCTGTCGTGCAAATTGCAGCAGGATATTGCTACCTCCTGGCTCTCACTTGTCAATCCACCGGGATGTAAGTCCTCTCATCTCTCCTTTTTCTTCTTCTTCTTCGAAAGTTCTTATAACTTTGCCTGGTTTTCATGCGCAGGGCGGTTTACTCCGTTGGCTGTGGACTCGGAGGAAAGCTGGGACACGGTACTCGATCCGACGAGAGATGGCCGAAGATGATAGAGCACTTCCAGCACCTTCGCTTGCAACCGATTGCGGTGGCTGCGGGGGCATGGCACGCAGCCGTGGTGTCCGAGGATGGCCGAGTGTGTACGTGGGGATGGGGCCGCTATGGCTGCCTAGGACACGGGAACGAGGACTGCGAGTTGCTGCCAAAGGTGGTGGAGTCTTTACAGGGAGTCAAGGCCGTGCACGTAGCTACCGGGGACTACACAACGTTCGTGGTGACTGACGCGGGAGAGGTCTTCTCATGCGGCTGTGGGGAGTCCTCGAGTCTCGGACATCTCAGTGGTGCTACCGAGGGCCAGGTTCGTGGTTTTTTCTTTTTGCACTCTTTTGCTTGGGTGTTTTACACATGCCGGGATGGTTTTGCAGGCTAATCGTCACGCGAACGTTCTCCGGCCGGAGCTCGTGTCGTCTCTTAAACAGAGAAACGAGAAGGTGTTGCAAATCAGCCTGACGAACTCGGTGACTTGGAACGCGCACACGTTCGCGCTCTGCGACTCGGGGCGATTGTTTGCGTTTGGAGCTGGGGACAAGGGGCAGCTTGGCACCGAGCTCCTGGACAACGAGAGCGAGAGAGGTACGCCAGAGCTCGTCGACATCGATCTCAGCTGATGGAAGCATCAAAGAAGAGAAAGTCTCCATCCAAAATTTCCACTTTCACTGTGTAGATTTGTTCATCCACCAGGGACATATTTGTACATAGATCAATCCAAAAAAAAAGAGAAAAACTTGTATAAACGTTTCCCGGGCCTATTTGAATTTGAAATTTCGAATATTCGGGATGATCTTCTCTATCGAGGCTCCAGATCAGTGAACGTCCGGGATTCTTCTTGTCTCTTGTTCTTGGGATCGCTGGCGGCGGAGTTTGACGATGACAAATAGAACCTTGGGTTCATAGCTCGGATGTCGAAAGTGGCAAAGAGCGGGACATTAACGTTGGAATGGCCGGAGAGCATCGCTATGACGTGAGACATGGAAGGCCTGTCCTGCGGGGATGCTTGAGTACACATGAGGGCGATGTGGATTGCTTGGACTAGCATTCTCGCTTGCTCGTTATTGCTAGAGCTTACAAGCTTGCGGTGTAGAAGATTTGGGAGCAGTCTATCGGAGTGGAGTTGACAAGCCTGCGGAAAGGGTTCGCTTGAGAACCTGTGATTCTTGAAGAAAGAAAAAGAGAGGAGCCATTAACATACCCATTCCAGAAGATATTGCTCCGGTTCCGGTAGACTCGCGTCCTTGTTCTTTCTCCCTGCTAGACGACTCCAAAGCTGAAAACATCGGCCTTTTCGCTCAAGTGCCCGTGAAAGGCATACTCTGGAGCCATGTATCCACTGGAAAGGAGCTTCATTTTAGTCTGCGATCACGAGTTTAACGCTAACGCTGAGGTGGTTACTTACTAGGTTCCTGCGACTTTTGTGGTGATGATCTCAGTCGCTTCGTCCTCTCCATACAGCCTTGCCAGCCCAAAGTCTGATATCTTGGCTTCGAATGTTTCGTCCAGAAGAATGTTGCTGGGCTTTATGTCCCGATGAACGATGCGAATTTGTGAATCCTCGTGAAGGTACGTGAGGCCCCGAGCTGTTCCAAGCAGTATATTGTACCGGGTATTCCATCCCAATCGAGGAGTTTCTTCCGCACTGATCAAATCATCTAGCCCACGCGGTGGAAGTTTAGATACGAACTACCAAATGCTCAACTTACCAAGCAAAGCCTTTTCAAGGCTGTTGTTCTTGAGAAACTCGTAAACCAGGAGCCTTTCACTGCCTTCGACACAGCACCCTAAGAGCCTGACGAGATTCCGGTGCTGTACGCTGCCAATAACTTTAACTTCGTTGAGAAACTGCTGCTCCCCTTGCTTGGAGGCCACCGAGAGCTTTTTGATAGCAATCTCGGTCCCATCACTAAAAGTTCCCTGTAGGAAAACCAAAGCTTTCAACTAACTGATCGATCAAATCCATAACCCACCCTCTCCAAGCTTGTGGTCGTCACTGAAACCCTCAGTAGCACGTCTCAGCAAATCGTACGAGAAAGTGACAGGGCCTCGATGCAATGTGACTTGGAGTTCATCCAATTCCTCTGACAAAAACCATACAAAAGGTGGCGAACAAAGCATATAGTCGACATACCAGGAGGTTTTGAAACGTTTTTGCTTCTTTTGGATATAAAAAATCCGATCACCAGGAGAAGCAATGCCAACACACCAGCGATTGGAATCCCAATTGCCAGTAGCAAAGTTTTCTTCGCTGTAGAAAAAACGTACAAAAGATAACATAACATGATCCATAACTTTGGAATTGGATGGGAGAGTCCCATTTCCTAGGACAGTGGCATTTTCGGGAATGCCCTGGAAGAATTTCGATCTCTGGAAGAAGAGCGTGCAGCTAGAATAGTAGCAAACCCCTCCGCCGCCGCCGCGGCAAGTGCTGGCAATCGCATTCTCCGCGGCGGCGAGGCAAGAGGCACAATCGGCAGCGCTTAAATCCGGAATGCACTGACCGAGAGCGTACGCAGGCACCGCCGATCCAATCCCCGCCACTGCCGCCACGAATTTCCTTGCCTTTCGAGGAACCTTAGCTTTAAGAAACTCTAGTGCGGTCCTAGAATTGGATTGGAAAATGGCCAAGGAAGAGGAAGGGATCGATGTTGAGCAATTGCCTTGGTTGGTGTCCTTGTCGAGAATGGAGGAGAAGAAGTGGTCCTCGTAGCGCAGGAAACAATTGCCGGGGTGGATCCTTCCTCCTTTGGTGGAGTTTCTCACGGTGGAATTGAGGATCTGGACGGCCAATCGCGCGCACGAGGAGCATTCCTGGGCAGAGATGTCGCCGCGGCATTGGATGAAACCGTAGACGGTGTCGCTCATACTGCCGGAGCTCGTGGATTTATATCCTCCAGCTGCAGGCCCTTGATCTTGGAGTGTGGCGAGCACCGTGAGGAGATTTCTTCCCATTTGGGCGCTAGTAATTTTGTAGGCGTCAGAGCACGAAGGCCTGGCAATATCTAGATCTGTGGTGGATTGGAAGCGAGGGCGAAAGCAGCGATGAAGATGGAGGCCACAAGAACAAGAGGGAGAGGATGATTCGCCATTGTTTGCCGAGAAGTAGGAAAGAATCAAGCTCCTCTTCTTATAAATGGATGGCCGCTAAGCTAAGAAGCTAGCTCCAAGGATGCTAGAGCGATTAAACTGGCATTTTTAGCAGCCAGTTTAGCAGTACAAAATAAACACTGGTCCGACATTTTGGGAGGCCCACGTTGATCTCGTGCAGCTCAGAGTCGTACGGATCAAAAGCTATTCGCTGGCTTATTTGAATTTGAGATCCAGAATATTCGGGTCGTATCCCCCCGAAAATTGCCTCCTGTTCTTGGGATCGGAGTTTAATGAGTACGTCCCTCCCTGTGAGTGGAATTCAATGCCCAGACGTCGAAAGTGGTGGAGAGTGGGACATTGACGTTGGAATGGCCGGAGAGCATTACTACTACATGAGACATCAAAGGCCTGTACTTGGGGGAAGCTTGAGTACACATGAGAGCGATGTGGATTGCCTGGACCAGCATTTTCTCTTCCTCGTTGCTGCTGGATCTTATGAGCTTGGGGTCTATAGAAGATTTGCGAGCAGTCCATCGGAATGGAGTTGCCAAGCCTCTGGAAAGAGAAAGAGTTGGCTTGAGAACTTTCGGAGGAATTCACATACCCATTCCAGAAGATATTGCTCGGGTCCAGGTAGCGTCACCCTATTCTTTCTTCCGAGGTTCCTGGGACTTTTGTGGTGATGATCTCCGTCACTTCGTCCTCTCCAATGCAGCCTTGCAAGCCCAAAGTCTGATATCTTGGCTTCGAATATCAGAATGTTGTTGGGCTTTATGTCCTGATGAACGATGCGAATTTCGTGAAGGTACGTGAGGCCACAAGGAGTGTATTGTATCAGGTAGTCAAGGACAACCGAGGAGTTTCTTCCTCACCGACCATCTCATCTGTCTCAACGCTAAAAGATAGGATGCAAACCACCTCCGGAATCTTGTCAGGCTAGTAAAAGGCTCCTAGTTTCTCAAGAAAGAGGCTTTTCTTGGTATGCACTTGACATCACAATGTGGTTCGACCACATGTCTCTCTGAATGTGCAGTTACCAAGGTACAACTACTTTATAACTATTTTGAATGAACACTTGTTTTGGATACTTGCCTCTTGAAGCCGAGTGTAACAGGTGAAGATGATGCACATCTAATTTGCTGGTGTGGTAAGGCCAGTGATGTGTTGCTGATGTACATTTGTTGACATGGTAGCACCAGTGACTGTCGCTGATGTGGACATCATATTTGCTGACATGGATGCACATCACAACTGCTGACCAGGACCAGTGACGTGTTGCTGACATAGATGCACATCAAAGTTGCTGACATGTATGAAAATGTCACATTGCACAGAAACTTGGCAAGAGTGTGCCATGTGTCAGGAGACATAGTGCTCATTGCCTCTATAAAACCCACTTTTTTTTTTTAGGTTCACATTTTTCAAACTTCCTGATGTGGCAGCTGATGTAACCCAGATCACAAGAACAAGTACCAACAATTTATATGTAGCAATCCAAAGGACTATTTATACTTTGATAGCAATCACTTCACTCGCGAATGTGATTTCGAGTATCGAAAATTACCTGTCGACCAGTCCTTACGGACACTCTACATTACTGCCACGACGGCAGGAGGTCGGTATTGCTGGACCCTTTATCAGTCTCTCTTATGCAAGTGTTAGTATGCATCTGTACTTGGCCGGATGAGCATAAAGACGGAATTTCTTTAGCCAAGCATATTTGGCTTGGCTTTTTAGTTCTCTTTTGCTCTATCTTGCACTGGCTTAACAAGAACCCTCGCATATTGAGATTAGTCCCTTAATATCGCTACCGTGTTTGCCAAACACCCTCGCTATCATGCCCTTTGTGTTAGTTTCATTTCAGTCCCAAATGCTATTTATGGAAAGTGTCTAGATCTGCTCATTTGGCATATCTACGAAATGTAGAGATTGGCCTGAACACAATGGTGTTCGTCCCATGTCCAAATTCACATTCTAGCGCCATTCTATATTTAATAAATTTCAAGCTTATCCTAGAGACTAACTCCTAATACTAAAGGAGGCTTGGGGTGAAAGCCCAAAGCCTGTGTTCCTCAAGGGGGCGGGGGGAGGAGGGGGGATTCTGGGGGGTTTCAAATGTATAGTAGGGATAGTGGGTAGGTTGGGCATGGCCAACCAGCCTGAGGTATAGTCTAGCTCCCGTTTGCGTGCCTGTCCTTGTTCTGCATTCAGCTTGGGTCTAAGCCTAAGTTCCATTCCATGTTAGCTGGTGGAATACCTATATCCTCACGTTAGGCCACAAGTATGCTGAAATAACGCCAAACTCCATTTGGCTTCATTTTGCATGCTGGTCCTAGCATTGGGATGTTAGATACTCTAGGACTATTCCAAGTTGCTCTGTGCCCCTATTCCTTCACTCCTTAGGGTATATGCTTGGGAGTTGCTCCGTGGTTCGGTTCCATCACTCTTTGGCTCCATACTTGGGAGTTTAGCACTGTTCCTTCGTTCAGTGGCCTGAAACTCGGGTTCCTCACCACTGTCCTTTGGACACGTGGCATATAACACGTGGCAAAAAAAGGTTTAAGTTCCACTTCGTGGTGTTATCCTAGAGTCCGAGAACTCCTTGGACTCCCCAGCTTCCCGGGAGTCCGAGAACTCTTGGGACTCCCACCACCAAATGGCAGGAGTCCAGGGAGTTTGAGGTGATGTTAGGGCTACTGCTGCCACCTAATCCAGTCAAACATACATGGCACACATACGTAACACACACCACGTTCCCCTATAATTGCACATCCGTGTGCAAACCTATGGCAGTTCCCTACTAATTCCCCATCCCCCCAGCTGCCTTTACTTGACCAGCGTCTTTATTATTTACTTGCTTGGTCCGCAGGCTGCACAAGTCTCCCCCATGTGGCAGGAGTCACTGAACCCTAAATTGGGTCAAACTCCGTTTGGTTAAATTCATCATTGTCATCAGGACTAGCGGCAGCTGGCGGCTTTTTGCCAGAAATCGCAAGTTCAGATGATCTAGCCTCACTGCTGGATTCACCCAGTCCACGGCCATCATCACAACACTCGGCTGGACAAGCGGATAATCCTTATCCAACCTTTTTCACGTCCAGCCCTCTTACTCAAGCACTAACCTCATCCTCACTTGGGTCCATCCACTGATCGACACCAAGCGTCCGATGGAGCTATCAAATACAAGCTATCACTTGCTCCCTCTATCTAACTTAGCCCTCTGATCCCAGCAGATCAGAACGGTAACTTGGAATTACCATGCTTACCAGTACTAAGGGAAAGTCATTCAGGTAACTCGGCTCATAGGGTCGCCACCCTAAGGCCTCTAGCCACTCTATGCCACCATGTCCATGACCATAATCCCGTTTCCCACCAAGTATCAACTCAGTCATCTGCACTCATATAACCTCATCTTGTCGCTCAATTCCGGTCTGTCCAGCTCTTTACAGACACCCAAGCCTACGATAACCACGGCGAGCGGGATACATAACCCCTGCTCCAGCCACTCTATCTCTGGTAAATTATCCAAGTACTGCCTTGAGCTCTGATAACCCCTTTGCTCAGCAGATGTCTCCACATATCTTATGGTTGTAGACTTCCGAGATCAGCCAGTTCCACCTCGCTGTCCTGCGAGTGGGGAAATCTTACCCCATGCAGTAACTGCTACCCGAAACATAACCAGCTCTGGTGGTGACCACAAGGCTTCCGCCAAGTGTGTCACCCACAAACTTAATCTTTCAGGGACTCAAGAGGCACGCTCACAACTTGAGCTCCTCTTCATGGTCCTTACTTTGCTTCTCCGGTTCAACATGCTCTCACATGTCTTTGCAAGTGCTGTTCCCATCAGCCATTCACAACTTGCCTAGGAGGTCCAAGACCTCCCATTCAAGAAGCACTCTTGTCTTTGGTACTTTTCACTCTCCAAGGTCACTCCTACAGGCAGCTAGTAATTTCCTAACCAAGCAGAGGAGAACTTCGTCCCCGCTATTTCTGTTAAGTCCAATTACTTTTTCACTTGGCCCTCTCCAAGTGACTATACACTCTCCGGTGAAAACCACCCAGCTGCCCCAGTGAGTTACATTTTCACTAGCGTACGGCTAGTTACTTACCCTCACAAATCACTGGTCCTTGTTATTTGAAGAACTCGGACAACTTAATATCCACGCCATCCATAGAGACAAGTTCTTACCAAACATGGGGTGGTTGCACTCCACCCACACTTTTCGAGCCTTACCGATTATGCCTGCATTTTCACACTTCCACAATTTGTGCATTGTGGAGCTCAGACACTTAGGGTCATCTGGTTCTCCCAGTGCCTTTACGTGCCTTCTCTTTGGATCTCCGAGCTCTCCCTATGGTAGTACTAGTTCTTACTCTGACACAGATTTCAGCAACTAGTTCTCCAGCTATTCTGGAAGAAAAACTCTTTGAAAACTCACTCCACAGATAAGTATTCCCACCGCTCAGCTTACAACTTCTTGCAGCCAGCAAGGAACCTGGATTTCCATATAGCTCACAGCCGCAACACACAGCACATAATTTTTTGAGTTGGGGCCCCATTTCCCAGCTCAAAAGAACTAAAGAAAAAAAAAATTCCTTGTCTTCGATACTACGTATCATGGAAATTGGGCCGCCAACTTATCTCTGATACTACGTGTGACACGGGTATCCTTCTTGGATACCAGATGCATCGCGGGCACCATCTCCGACACCACGAGGCCCATTAATACCAGCTGTGTCTCGTGTGCCAGATCTGGTAACCCTTATTACGGCTGTTGCGAATCCGAGCTCCAGCTTCCCTTTGGACGATCCATGTAAATCCCCAGCCTTGTGCACCCAAGGCCTAAGTCCTAAGTCAGGTG